TTTAGCAAATATGTACCTACATTTGCAAATTATCTTTTCATTCAATCAATCTGAACTAAATCTTAAATGCTAACCACAACCTTCTGATGATACAACACTGCATCCACATACTGATGATGTATTAACTCAACTTCCAACTAACTACCCATCCACAGACTTACGATGTATCAACTCAATTTCCAAAACACTACCCATCCACAGACTTACTATGTATCAACTCAACTTCCAACTAACTACCCATCCACAGACTTACGATGTATCAACTCAACTTCCAACTGCCCATCCACAGACTTACTATGTATCAACTCAATTTCCAAAACACTACCCATCCACAGACTTACTATGTATCAACTCAACTTCCAACTAACTACCCATCCACAGACTTACGATGTATCAACTCAACTTCCAACTGCCCATCCACAGACTTACTATGTATCAACTCAACTTCCAACTAACTACCCATCCACAGACTTACGATGTATCAACTCAACTTCCAACTGCCCATCCACAGACTTACTATGTATCAACTCAACTTCCAACTAACTACCCATACACAGACTTACGATGTATCAACTCAATTTCCAAAACACTACCCATCCACAGACTTACTATGTATCAACTCAACTTCCAACTAACTACCCATCCACAGACTTACGATGTATCAACTCAACTTCCAACTGCCCATCCACAGACTTACTATGTATCAACTCAACTTCCAACTAACTACCCATCCACAGACTTACGATGTATCAACTCAACTTCCAACTGCCCATCCACAGACTTACTATGTATCAACTCAACTTCCAACTAACTACCCATCCACAGACTTACGATGTATCAACTCAACTTCCAACTGCCCATCCACAGACTTACTATGTATCAACTCAACTTCCAACTAACTACCCATACACAGACTTACGATGTATCAACTCAATTTCCAACTGCCCATCCACAGACTTACTATGTATCAACTCAACTTCCAACTAACTACCCATCCACAGACTTACGATGTATCAACTCAACTTCCAACTGCCCATCCACAGACTTACTATGTATCAACTCAACTTCCAACTAACTCCACAGACTTACGTTGTATCAACTCAACTTCCAAGTGCCCATCCACAGACTTACTATGTATCAACTCAACTTCCAACTAACTCCACAGACTTACGATGTATCGACTCAATTTCCAAAACACTGTACCCATCCCCAGGCGTATGATGTATTAACTCAACTCCAATTACCCATCCACAAACTTGCAATGTATCATAATTCATCTTCCAACTGTGCATCCACAGATTTGTGTTGGTATTTAATTTTAAAACTTCAAATTATATAAGAAAATAACTAGCAATTTAAATATAAATAGCATGCAATTTTAAATTTTCTTATAATTAAAGAGTGGTTAATCCACTAAGAATCCTCTTTGAAGTAAGAATAAAAATTCTGTATTGTACTGATATTGGCTGGTGACACAAGACAATAAACAGGGGCAGACAATCAAGTGTAAGTTAGGTTTTCTAGAGTTTACAAGGAGAATGATTCAAAGTTTGCAGTTTGAAACATCTTCAGTATTAAAAAAATAAAATATTATTATATTCCTGAACGTAGTTTTAATTACGATGAATTTAATTTAGTTAAAATTTTTCAGGCTATTATTAGTCTTAATTTTCTACTCTATAAGGTTATTTAGGAGACCCATCCTTGTCCGTAAACTACTTTTAACTACATTCCCCATATAGGACACGACTCAAATCATTTTTCCCTACAGGAAGCACTTAGCAAGCCATTGAGTATGGAGGCAAGACTAACTTTACAACGTCTCAGTAAAGGAGGAGAAAACAATATTTCCTACGTTGTGCGGCTAACAGAGGATCAGAAGGACATCATGGTGACACAAGACGGAACTTCCAAGAGGGTCCTTCCAAAGGAACTTTGTCTTGAAGAACAAGATTCAGACTGTGAGAATTTTCTATTCTCCATTAAATTCTTTCTGTTAGAAATTTGTGGCACCTTTGCAGGACTGTCATGGGGCGCTTGGTCCACTCTGGTCTTCGCTTTAAATCAAGTAAACTCAGAACAATATGAGGTGTTTTACTTTATTCCTACCTTTTTTTATTCCCAAATCAAGTTTATTTGTCCCTGCTTACACGTGAAAGCTAATAATTGGCGCACTGAATCAAATGAAAATGTAATGGTAAAGCTTTTCCAGTTGGTGTTGAATTTAAAGAGCAAAAAAATCTTAATTTTCTCACCTCACCTGACATGTTTAATTAATTACATCAAACAATCAAGAGAAATAAAGATGTTTATAAACATAATTAAAGGCATATTTATTCATTTTGAAGCTGTTGTGACATGTTTAATTAATTACATCAAACAATCAAGAGAAATAAAGATGTTTATAAACATAATTAAAGGCATATTTATTCATTTTGTTCATGAAAAGGAATTACTTCTAATTTTAAGAATACAGATACAGAAAGGTGATCCTACAACCAGCTGTAAGTAAAGCAAAAATTTATTTGGGTAATTGTTTTGATCAAGTTGATGTTACCATTGACTATATACTTTTATCTATGATATTACTCTGGATGTTTCTAGTAAAACCTTCTGCTTATTCAGTTTTTTTGTTTTCTTTTAGCGAATTTCCCTAATAGGGAAGTAGGTATTACAGTAGGTAGCACGGTAAGACCTAAGTCCGGTCCGGGACTGATTTACCTTTTCATTTCGATGTTCCCAGAGGCCAAAAACACCATCCGCTCAAAATGTTATACAGAGTGTCCATTAAAAACGTTTCAGGACTTTGAGATATGAATCCTCATTCTAAAAGGAAGAAAAAAGTTTTTGTGAAGGTCTGTCCGAAAATGCAAATTTACCTAGGTATCCCCCATTTTATTTTTATACATAGATAATTATTTTTATCCTTGAAGTTTTTTAACCGATTATTATGAAACTTGGTAAGCATGTTTAACGTACACATAAGACCTATTATGGAAAGAAATTAAGTTGGTCCAAAAATAAATTTCAAAGTGGCATACATTTCGGGATTATTTTAATTTTTATAAATTAAATAACTCGAAAACGGATAATTTTATCACAAAATGTGTACTAAGCAATTCATATTTTACAAAAACCCCACTTTAATAACCTCCCTGTAGCCGCAAACCTAGGACTCGTTAAAGCTAATGTTATTTAAATAGATTTATTTAATTGAAAATCAATTCAGGCAAATGGAAATTCGCTTAGTCTGCAGGTTTGCAGTGGCGGGGGTATTTTATACTTTGCCTCCTCTGCATACAGACAAACTCTGTAGTAACCACAACAGCCAACAGTGGCACATGGGTTCTGAAAGGAGATAGTCAGCGGCAAAATGACTTGAGATGTTTAATGGTCGTACTCGTACACAACTAGATGAAACTGTCCAATCCAAGCCAATAGTGCGAGCAGACTGTAAAACTAGTTTTAGTACATTTAACATTAAATTTTAGTGCCAAGCCCTTAACCCCTGGAGCAAAAATATCTTGGTTTCAAAACATGGAATTTAAATTATCTGGATAATTCGAAAGTAATGAAATTGTTGTCATTCAATCATTTTGAAAATTAGTTTAGCTCTTATAGTGCTTATAACAAACTTTTTTTCAACGATTGCTTGTCCTGAGGTATTATAACCAAAGAAAAAAAAGCAAAAATCGTAAAATTTACCCTTAAGATTCATAAGAGACACATTAGTCATTAGTGCACCAAAGGCACTAACTGAAACCCAAATAAAAAGGCATCATATTTTAAATAGTATACATATTAAGTAGTACACCTTATTACCTCCTCCTTGGCTTCATACCAGTATAAGCTAGTTAGGCTGCGGTATATATACAGGGTGAACAACTTAACTGTGCCACTATTGGTATCTCAGAAACTATTAGATTTAGGAAAATATTAAATGGGGAACTTCAACTAGTCTTTAATGATATTAAAAAATATGAATTCAAATGTTTCCTATGGAGCACCCTGTATTTTATGATTGTTTTAGATTCTAGATGCAATTTTAAGACTTTTTTACTCTTGGTATTTTCTCTCTAAACCTACTCGTTTAGGAGATACAGCGTGTTAAACTTTGAAAAATTAGCTTGCCGTGTGGTTATAACCATTAAGCCCCCCACACACTACCAGACCAGACCTCCAGACCAGACCGTCTGGTCTGGCGTCTGGCACTTGTCTTATCGTGTGTGGGGCTGTCTGCAGACCGATTTTCTCGGACCAGACTGTCTGCGTGTCTGATGGTTGAACCCTCAGACCACAGACGGTCTGAGGTTCCCCCACCACTATTTTTGTCTGGTCTGTGAGTGTGTAGCGCTGTCTGTCAGACGGCCGACCATCGTGACAATGTTCATCCATTTGTTGGAGTTCTCACCGCGGTCTCTCAATTACGAATTAGGACCGTCTGGTCTGGGAGTGTGTAGAGCCGTCCAAAACGGTCTGGTTGCAGCCAGACGGTCTGGTCTGGAGGTCTGGTCTGGTAGTGTGTGGGGGGCTTTACGTCGTTAGATTTTGTTAAGGTGTTCCATAAGAAATTTTAAAGTTAGCCGCCATATTTGAAAATGGCAGCCATTTTGAAACATTGGAATTCATATTTTTTTAATGTAACTAAAAACTAGTTGAAGTTCCCCATTTAACGTTCTCCCTAAATCTAATAGTTTCTGAGATACCAATGGTGGCACAGCTAAGTTGTTCATCCTGTATATTAGTTTAAATAGTATATATAGTATGTATATTAGAACCATCTCAAGTCATTAGTTTAATCTACCATTAAGCATGAGCAAATGGTACTTCCATCCACACGAACAACTCAACTTCCACAGATACAGAATTGTTGTTGTTAATAATTCAATATAGTATAGACTTCTTAATAAACCTGTCTTTATCCACAGCTGATGGTGTTGTACGTGACGATTCGTCCATTTTAGTCGACCATATGTCCAACTGCGCCCTCTCTCTCTCCTCTGTAACTGTCTCTGTCATTCAGTCTCCTTGGAGTTTTCTGCTCACTAAGAAAAGGACAAATTAGTCTACAGTGGTTGGAGTTTCGTTTCCAAATAATTTATCGTCCCATAATCAATCAAGATGGTTATGACAGGGTTGACTCTTAAGAGCTTGAAACATCACGTAGCTGTAAGTGTAATCACTATTTTTTACCTTATGCTAAAAATTCTACACGCAAGAATTTTTAGAACCAGGCTATGGCCTAACTATGTTTTAGAAATCATTAACATATTTCCTCAACATTTTATTGTATCTTTGTATGCAAATATTATCAGTGATTATCTCCTTAATTTTCCCCCATACCTTAAGTCAAGTTAGGATTGGGCTATGAAGATTTAGAGGTGCTATAACTTAAGTTATAATCAAGTCAAAATTGGCCTAGTCTCATGTGAGATAACAAGTCACTTCTTGTTTAAGTTATCCTAAATTTGATGTTCAATTCATAAACTAACAAATACCGATAACATAAGCATGTGCTGAAAATGCTATGCCGCCACAATCAAATTTTCAGAAAACCCTAGTAACTTAGGCCTTAAGTTAAAGGTCTAGGCAATTTTCATCATGTGATACTTTTCAAATTATGCGTGAACTGCCTGATTTTCTTTATATGAAATCAAAACTAAAAAATTATTCATAGTAAGGTACCTAACGATGGGAACCTATATTAATTTAGGCTATAGCCTATATCACCTGAGAATAATGGTGTAAAAATCTTTCTGCAGAGACAAAAACTAAATTAACCCCTTTTTGTTTTTATTAATTTTGTTACTGTAATTCTTGCCTGCTTGTCTCTGTTTTCATTACTGCGAAGTGTAAACAAACATCAAGGAATGAAAGGAAAAGTTAGTCTAGAGGAGAAGGAATCTAAGACCACTGTAAACATTAAATAAAAGTTAATTATTTAATACAAACGCCGACAATGCGGTAGAGGCATTTATAAATGCAACTGAGCATTGATAATTGTAAACTAATCAGTTCTTATTTAGGCAGGTGAGGAAGATAGATCAGGCTTAAACTTATGTGGATTCGTGACTGTATTAAGTTTTTTGAAGTTAGGTTGGATTAACTTAAGAGGTAATGTTTAGGATATAATGTACCGAATTGTTGATTTATGTTACCTCCAGACTGTATTTGTACTATTTGAAATAGTAGCCTAAGTTAGCTGAATGAAGCTTTGTCAAGCAATGTGCTTGTAGGCCTAGTGGTCATCCATATTCCAGAATATAAGGGCTAGGCCTACTACTACTATGTTAACAAACAACCTTGAACAATAACAAGTGTCATTTTTAAATCCCTTTTTTATTTTTTGCCCGAATCACATGTTAGGCCTACTGCAAACACGGAGAACTAAGATACAGCACAAGCTTATGGGACTAACGTGTGCTTTTAGCTCTAGTATGGTGGGGTGAAAATGTATTCGTACCGAGCAAGGAAGAGCCCGAACGGCGATGGCCACATGCAATTTTTCCACAGCAGCTGTAGCGCACAGGGTCTTCCTACAGCACGAGCATTGTAGTATGTGACGTCGAGGGGGAAAAGGAGAGCGGAAGGGAACAATAAGTAGAATTTACTCTAGTCACCAGCGACTTGTGCTAGACAGAATGTATCTTACAGTAGACTCTCTCTTATCCGGATACCTTTTAACCGGACATCGGATTAACCGGACTACACTCGGCGGAAATGACATCTGTTTAACCGGACAATTTTTATCAGCACATTGGTTTAACCGGACTAGATTGGCAGTACTGAAACGACTGTTCTCGTGTGGGAAAGATTTGAGACCAGTGATCACGTGTCTAAATACAATGCTCTCCTAAATTTAAGTCGAATATCACAGTAAACAGTCCGTTTTAATGAGTTTTTGGGGACGTCGGTTTAACCGGAAAACCTGTTATCCGGACTGGCCTAGGTCCCGAGGAGTCCGGATAAGAGGAAGTCTACTGTACTTCTCTGTGCTGCATACCTCGATAGAAGTCATCTTATTTAATAATCCTTTGAGAGTCTTGTCATCTAGGTTCTACGTTATTTTATATAGGCTTCGGTGTTCTACATGGTCTACTACCTATATTTGAATGAATAGGATTAGCATTATGTTTCTAGTACGGTAACATTTAACTGAGTCTTAAACACATGTTAGGTCCAGTTCAAGTAGACATTGCCAACTCATTCTTTTATGTAAACAATTTCGCCAATGAATGTTTCACCATCAAATGTAAGCTATCCTTTGATGATTCATTCCAAATTACCCTAAAATGGTATTTGGTAAATTAGGCCTATATTTAACCCCAACAACTAACATAAGAGTTTAGCATTTACTGATGTCATCTCGGATTTAAGTTGCACCCTGTATCTTGGGCCTACATCCTGTCTCTTTTGTTGCACCTTTCAAATATTTTATTAATATTGGCCACTTCTAGATTTAACTTGCAGTCATTTTTTATAGCCTACCTATGCCACTTTGAGACAACATGGACTCAGCTGAACATGGATAATGATTTGTCAGAATTCCAATCCAGTTGCTGTATCTAGCTTCAATGAATAGGCCTAATTAATTTGTTAATGTTACAGGCAATGACTTTGAAGGGTAACACTTTTCAATATTTATGGCACATGTAAAAATAATCTTAGAACATGTGTCAGGGAAGATGCTAATTGTAATTTACCTACTTATATTTTTTTTCTAATCATGCCAGTTGCATTTTAAGGAGTACCTAATTTTTAAAAAAGGAGCAAGTACCAGTACTTAAACGCTATTGGGGAAAGTGGTACAAACCCATTTGTGTTGTAGGTGTGATGGGAATCCAACCCATGCCTTTTTATCATGTAGGCCCTCTAAAAAATATTCTCATAATTAAGACTGCAGGTTGAAAGCACTGAAGGTTTCGAACAACGGTATCCATTTTCGAGTTTTTTAGATGTAGGCCTACTAAGGTGCTGAGAACATCGACCTGGAAGGTGTTAGTTAGCCTTGGCCAGTTTAAGTAGCCTAATGGTGGTTCAGTACCTTGTAGCCTAAATGTTACTGGAAGATTTCTTTATGATTTTCAGCCAGTTGCGGTTCCACGGGGGAGGGGGGATGGAAGGGATATATCCCCCTTCCCCGAAATATTTTATATTTTATTAGCTAACATTGAAATACTATTTGCTTAAGCATATTTTAGAGCTCAAATACTTATAAAAATGTGTTTTAAGGCTTAAAATTCCACATTTTTTCTGGGGCATATTCCATACCCCCCACCCAAAATGAAATCCTGGGACCGCCACAGTTTTCAGCTAAATTATAAAAGTTTGGTTATTATTTTGTCTTGTATGAAAGATGCTGTAATTGGCATCATGGTAAAACGAAGGTCAAGGTCAAACAACCATTGTTCATGATATAACTTATTGACTTTTTCAATTTTTTCTGTTATTAGTTTTGTAATAATAAACCACAGTTTCTATGGTACTAAGAACTACCAAAGATGTACTAGAGCCCCAAAATATATAGCTTACACTTGTAGTTCCATGTTTTAAATGTGTCATGTCAAGGAATTAGTTGCGCTACTATAGTTGTGGACAGGGTATCTCCGGACCAGGAAAAGGAGACCTACCTGCCTCTGCTATTGTGGAGTTGCCCGCCCGACCGACCCTAATTAATGTCGCTTGGCTGCGCTCAACGAAAACAACAACTAGACACCCAATACCATAAACTTAAGTTAAGTTATTTACAAAAATTATTGATATTGATTATCATATAATGTTTTGTTTTAAAATGTAGATTATTTTGATACTAAATTTGATGTAAATCGGCCAATTTTTACCATTTGTGCCGCCAAACTAGTTTTTCTTTTAAAAACTAATTTTTAATAAACAATGAAATTTAATATAAAGCGTGAGTATATGGAGGGATAACAAAATGCCTATGTATGATTGTATTAACTTTTTATTCCGTCATAACCAAAATAAATAGCTCGTTTGAATGAATAGCTGGTTCCAAGAAAGCTTTTAAATCATAAATAGTATACTATGTAACTTTATTTATCGTACAATGTTTACAAATAATATCAAAAATTGCGGGTTTTTTGTTAAAATAAAGCTCGTGTACTTTCCATTTGCTGGCACCAGTTAATTGTCCTTGGAGGCTAGACGTTATACCTAGGTTATAACTCAGACAACAATTAAAAAAGAAAATTTAATTTCTGGCCTCACAGTGCATTGGATATTAAAATTACAATCACTTTGGTATTTGAAAAAAAAAATTTTGACTATAAATAACCTTTCGACCGCTGTTTGAAATCATCAAAGATGACCGCTAGCATCCAAGGACTCTTAATTCGAAGTGCATGCATTAAACCGTGAATCTTTTACATTAAACTAAGTTACAGAATACCCTATACAGTAGACTCTTGATAATTCGAAATTGGTGGGTCAACCATATCAATTTGAATTATCAAGAGTTTTGAATTATCAAGAGTTCGATTTATCGGGAGAAAAATAAACCATTCAAATTACAGAGAGTTTGTTTGTTTAATACATACAAAGGTACAGCACGTTACAATAAAACATCATACCGTATTTTAGTACACTTTTAAACAATCAACGGCTTATTTTTCAGTTACTGTAGTTGCAAAGAAATCTGTTATTTAGCGCTTTATATTTCACCAATAGCTGAACTATCAGCTGTCGACAACTACGTTTGTGCTCAAGGAGATGTCGCGCAATCTAGAGATCGGATTGCCAACTTAGAAAAACAAGTCAGCGAACTAACTCAGACTACTGCTCTAACTAAAAAAACATCAAAACGTCCAACACTAGCCTACCATGGGAACAGGATGTACTGTACTGTATAGTTTCCTGTTATAACAGGAAGAGATCACTTCGAATTATAGAGTGTTTTGCCGACTAAACTTCGAATTACTGCGTGACTTTGTTTTATAGAGTGTTTTTTCGACGAAACTTCGAATTACAGCATGACTTCGAATTAAAGAGTGTTAACCGACGAAACTTCGAATTACTGAGTTACTTCGAATTATAGAGTGTTTTTTCGACGAAACTTTGAATTACTGCGTGTTACAAATTGACCTGCCCTCTATTTGGACTTTGAAATACCGAGTGTATCAAAATGCATGGTAAAAATTTGAAATATTGAGAGATTCTCTAGGGACTGAGCCTTCATTTTGAATTATCGAAAGTTTTGAATTATCAAGTGTTTGAATTACCAAGAGTGGACTGTATATTAAATTTAGTACCTGTTTTATTCAATTTTTATTGAAATTAAAATTCACACTCTGCTCTATCTATGTTTTAATTTATGTCGTGTTGATTTTTGTCGTACTTTGTGCCTTTGCGTTTTGATAAATTAAGAATCAGTATAAATATTGTACAGTACTTGTATCAATCAAGTTATTGATAAAAATTATGTTTTAAAATTTGTATTCAAACGATCTATTTATTTTACGATGAAATAAAATGTTAATACATTCATACAAACGCATATTTGTTATCCCTCCATATGCTCACGCTTTGATGAAATTATATTCAATTTTCATTTTTTATTAAAAAATAGTTTTTAAAAGAAAAACTAGTTTGGCGACACAAATGGTCAAATTTGGCCGATTTACATCAAATTTAGTATCGAAATAATCGACAATTTAAAACAAAACATTATATGATAATCAATATTATTGATTTTTGTAAATAACTTAACTCAAGTTTATGGTATTGGGTGTCTAGTTGTTGTTTTCGTTGAGCGCAGCCAAGCAGCATTAATTAGGGTCAGCCAGGCGGGCAACTCCACAATAGCCGAGGCAGGTAGGTCTCCTTTTCCTGGTCCGGAGATACCCTGTCCACAACTATAATCCCATTAGTTGAGATTTTCAATCAATTTAAAAAAAATATTTTTGAGCTTTTAAATAGTACTACCTAGTTTATAAATTATAGGAATGCAATCACTCTATACTTGTTAAAAACATTAGACCTGTAGTATTTTTATTGTTCATCGTTGTATATGGTTTTCTTTGTTCTTGTTATTCAAACAAAAAATCACTCTGTCATTTTACCTTACTGTGGTGTCTCTATTGTACCTTAACAGAGACACCATCTAAACTAGGGAAGTAGTCGGATTGTAAATAAATAAACGGATTACATTTTGCTAAACTGTGACAACGATGATGCAATCAAGAGGGGTGGATGTTGAGAGAGGGAAGAACGGAAACGGGTCGGGGTCATGTGATCTAGGCGAGGTGGGAGGCATCGTCACAGCTGATTTATTTGTATGAAGACATTTAACTATGCCTACTGGATCACAAGATCACCAATGATCACATATACTATATATAATACATTATAGGCTATATATGTAACACTTACACAAGGTGATTCTAAATTGTTTTTACACTTTTGAAACTCTTTAAATGAAAAACCATACAACCTATCATAACGGGACGAGAACCAACCATTGATAGAGGAGATTGTGAAGTTTAGTTTGACGCCCCCTTGGTTTATATAGCTGCAAAATTAGCCTCTAAAGGTATTTTTAAATGTTAACTATAGGGCCTAATGTTAAATTTTTTTTAAAGCAGCTGAATTGATGTTACTGACTGGGTTTTCACAAATTCACATTCACTTTCTGCTCTTTTGAAGCCATGTCCCTCGCAGCTTACAATAATGGCGTATAAATTAGCGTTAAATTATAGAACAAATTGACCCCTAGTGGTATTACTTAAATCTTTTGACTATAATTAAAGTATGAAGTTTTGATATTCAGAGAGGTAAAGGTGTTGAATTAATTTAAAATCGTAGTTAAAATCTAAAAATGTCTGCAGAGGCTAATTTAGCGACTATGTTTACGAAAGTGGTGCCAAACAAAATTTTAGAATCTCTTTCAATTTATTCTCCCCCCGGTGATGATAGGTTGTATAGTTTTTAATTTTAAGAGTTTCAAAAGTCTTAACAATAATTTAGAATCGCCCTGTATATTCCATTTGATTATGTATTGTTGTAATTGTGTATTATTAAAAACAAGACATTGGCAGTGACAACATTGTAATTATGTACCTAAAGATTTTGTTTTTCAAAGACATTTTTGAATGACAATGCCCAATTTTTTCCAATTTTTGAATGATGTGCTTTGTGTGTTTCACCACTTATCCCTCTATTTAATATGTTGTTTCAGCTAATCCCTCTGTTTGCCTGTGTCGGTCTTGGTGCCGTCGGCTCCATCGGTTACCTATTGCGCCTCGCTTTGAGGAACCCTGAAGTTTCATGGGCAAAGACCAGCAAACCTGAGCCATGGGAAGACTACAGGACTTCTCAGTACAAGGTATCTAGGCTTCCTTTATCCTTTGATACAGGGTGTCTGCCGGTTACGGAAATCACTGATTTTACTAGGAGGTCATGCAAGTCACTGGAAAGATCACATTTTCTTTTTAACACTTTAATCATAAGCCCAAGTATAGCTCGGGGTGTTAGTTGAATCTAACCTTCCAGCGCTAGTGTGCTTATAGCGGCATTAGCAGCGTTCTGCATGGTAGCTCAGCTGGATAAGACGTTACACTGATGAGTGATGAGTGTAGAATAGTGTCTTTCTACATGCACAGGTTCAAATCCTATACATGAGCAATCCATACTAAGCTTAGTCTTGTGTGGTTTAGCTGGCTGGAGTTGAATAGGGTTTGAACACAACACCTGTTTGCTTTACATTCACTATAGAGAAGGAGGTCAGGGAGTTTTATTTTTTTTCTATAATTGTAATTATGGACATACCGTGTGTCAAAACAAATATATTATGAAAGACATAAAATATCATGACCTAAAAAAATATTACCCATATGGCAACCATTTATGTTTGCGTTTGAAATTATTTTAATTTCTTTACATACATTATACAGCCTTTGAATAGTGTCAAACATTTATCAATTTCAATTTTAAGTACAACTCTTTTTATAAATATGTTTCCTTAATGTCTAGTATTCTTGAGGGTGGGGGAAAAATTCTTCTTTCTAGAGAATAAATGGCCATGTTTAGCCTATTAAGAAATGGCTTTGTTTTGTTTTAAATGTTGTTGGATCGTTTTCGTTTCTAATTTCTCTAGGGAAATATTTAAACAAAATTGTACGAGCAAATGATTAATCTGTAGCCTACCTATTTTGGAATGTTTTTCTTTTGTTTCATATCTGTGCTCCGGTAGGTTAGATACATTAGATGAGGTTTTTTTTTATATTTGAAAATTAAAATTGAATAAAGAATGTAGGACTATTGCCCCTAAACAGTTTGTTAGAATGTTTATCTGTTCAAAGTACTCTTTCACCGAGTCATCAAAATTAGTCTTGAGTATTACTCTCACTGCTCTTTTTTTCATGTTTTACTATCTTATCTAAATTGATTTTAGCTGTTGCTCCAAAAATAGACAAACACCATAGGAGATACTTGGAGTACTAAACTATCTCATGTAATGTATTTTCATAATTTGTGGTTGGTTACAGTAATCTGAAACGCATATTATGAATTGCATTTTATTGTATTTTATCTGTTTTGTTTAATCGTTAAGAAAGAAAAACATTTTTTTGAGTTGTGGTATCCTAAAACAATTTTGTTTGTTCCAGTTCTACTCTCCCAACATTGACTACTCAAAACTTGAAAGCCCAGCTCCCAAGTACTAGGCTGCTTAGTAATTATGTCGTCAACGTAATAATCCTGCATATTACATGATTCCAGGATACGAGTCAAAGTTTCCAATCTTGTTTCTGAATATTGTATTATATTTACATATTAAATAAAATAGTCGACTGGTACAGTTGTATTTTATTACCTCATTTCCTGGTTTAAGTCCGTAAATTACAACAAAAATTCCTTAAGTTACTATAAATTTTGGCAAGAATGTCAATTGTCAATCGATTGTTCAGGGAGTCTAATGAATGCAAAATTTCATGGATTTGCAATATGAATAATCACATTAATAAAAATATGAATATTGTGACAGTAAAATTTAAGTTTTTTTAAACAAAATATATTATAATTTTGCCCATTATTTTCAAAAGGTCTAAGAATTCATAATGAAAATGATGGATGGTAAGTGAAAACTCTGAAGACTTACAAAGAATAAATTAACCTTTTACTTCTAACATTACTTTCAGCCAAACCTTGTTCTTACTAATTGTGATGGAAAACAACCGTTTTTTTAAGTAGCCGTTTCACTTTGTTTCTTAGAATTGAAAAGATTCACTTAACAGCAGTGTTTACTTACTTAACGACACAAGTAACGGACCAATGAGGTTCAAGGATTGAGAGAGAAGTAAAACTGTAATGCATCGAACGTCAACTAATCAGTTGTTTAATATACCAGAAACAAAAGAACCCTGGGCCATTTCGAGCCGCGCAGGTTTGAAGGGTAAGCCCCACCTACAGGCGTGAACCATGTGATCTTTTCGTTTCTGCGCAGGTTGTTTTGTTCTTGGGATGTCTATAGAACAATTTTATTGTTACTGAGTGGTGCAATTAGTGTTTGGTACAATGATTTAGGTCAGTGGCACTGAGAGGTTATAAACGAAAACATAACCTCTCTTAGAGGTAATGAGTAGTGATTGTTAGTAATTAAAAACTGTCATAGGTAAAGTAGTGTACGCATCTCGCGTAAATAGTCTTACTTAATGACACTCGTAGAAGGCTCGTATCTTAAATTTCTACTTGTGTCGTTAACACTATCTTTACGCAATCGTTGCGTAAACAACTATTAGGCATTTTATACACAAATTTATAGGGAGGAAAGGCCTTTCCCTCTGACCCCTTTAACAAGGTACATGTTTGCCTATGTGGTGCCCTTGACAATTTTGAGGCATGTTTTATAATAAAGATACATTTTTAGTTCAATCTCGTTTATTGCATGTGAAAAAAACTGAAACAATTAAGTGTAAAAATCTTAATTCCTACATTTCATAGAAAACCATCAGTATGATCAGTAGATTTGCTGTTTTATTGTATTTATTACAAGTTGGTGCTCTGAAAATCCTTATGCTTTGGAACCATCCCAGCCTGAAAGAAAGCATAAGTCAAAGTCATCTTTATTGTCACAAAACGTTTTTTTTATGCTCTGGCACAGCCAGACAAAACCGGTGACATTGTCAAACTATACTAAAATAAACTAGCTTATATTGGTAAAAATAAATACATAGTAGGTAACAAAACAAACAATTCACATTGATTTATCTTCAAGAAACTGAACAATACTATAATAATTCTTTTCCAATAAAAATTCAAAAATTTTTTCTTTAAAAGATACTAATCCTATTATAGATTTGTAGTACCCAGGCAAATTGTTAAAAAATCTTTTACCCATATAAGAAGGTGTCCTTTCCACAAGATAACTTTTATGGTATATTAAAACAAAAGGCAAGTATTATTGTTATATTAATAAAAATTAGCTTGTAGGTAATATTTTACCATACCTTGAAAATACTCCCTTTCTTATCTTCATAAAGTGGTTTCTGTGGGAGTGTTGCACAACGTCCAATATAAAATATTTGACTGTTGCACTCCAAGTGCCACGATGTCCAAAAGTACAGAAACTTCAAAAAATAGTCTTTCTACAAGCTTTGGACGTCATGAGATTGCACGTTATGCAAAAGCAGTTGCACGACGTCCAATAACTCAGCGCTGTTGCATGATGTCCAAAGCTCCTGCATGGTTAGATTAGGTTGTTAGGTTAGGTTAGGTTATGATAGTTAGTATCCTGTCGTGGCACTTGAACATCGTACAACAGTAAAATATTTTATATTGGACGTCGTGAAACAGCTCAAAAATTATATTTTGGACGTCGTGACACTGAATAATATTATTGGACGTCGTGCAATGCATCCGTTTCTGTGAGTATCCCTGCTAGAAGAGGAACTCAAAATGTTTCTTCATATGCTGGTAATATAACTATCACACCAAAGACCCCGGGATACTACACTGGGCTAGCAACACACACTGTTCTAATTGTTATCTATTAAAAAAATAACAAATTTTGAACAGTGATACATTGACATATCAGCAATATAATTTTTAGGTAGAAATTACTTAAAAAAAAGTAATTGTTGCACAATTAGAGACCTGGCAAATGATTCTGTCCAGTTTTGTTGTCTTGGCTTTATAAATACATTTTAGTTTTATTGTATTAATCAATACGGTTTGGCTAGTCTAGGAAGTAGTTAAAGAGTGTCACTTCAAAATTACATGATAACTCAAAATTATATATTAATATTCCAATCAAAAATTTAAAGATGTTTACATTTCTTCCTGTGACAAATTATCTGGCAGTTTGGTTTTAACATGTTTTCAATCAAAGCTCAGCAGATGAGCAAAGTTTGACCTTCTGGCCTCCCTATGACTTTTACTATAAAAATTATGTTTATCTAATTGAACATTTTAGGATGCTATGCTTGGACAGACCTCATCCAAGGCAGATAAAGTACATACAGTAATAGAGAATAGAGATTTCATTTTACTTACACCACTTCTTTTTCCAGCATCAGAATCATAGATTCCAGAATCCAAATCATCTCCTGCAACATTTAGAAGTAACTTTTTTATAACAACAATTTTGCGCCAAATCAAAGTAGAAGACTAAATTAAAACTCTAAGCCTTTTGCACCTTCTTAAGTAGGAGTTATGTGGCAAAATTTACAAAATAAAAACAACAACGGCTTACTTAAACTTTTAGCAGTAACTTTTGCTAATATTTGCTAATTTGATCAAATGTAAATGAATTAACTGTAAGTTTTAAAGACCATACCAAATACAAAGATTAAAAATTTACTAATTTGATAATGTATATCTACCTATCAAATTAGTATTAAGTTGCTTTTGAGAATCCTAAAAGTCCATGCACAATGCTTATTTCATGTAATAGTATTTTATTTTAAGTTTTAAAACAATCTTTGTTATGTATTAGTGATAAGACTTATTGATAATTTACTAAACACTTAATAAATACTGGTAGGGTTTGGAGGGGGTTTTATAGTGAATTTATAAGACAAAGAATTTTTATTAATGCTCTAAGCATGGTTGTGATGAAACCCACAAACATTTTTATAATACTTGTCTTCCAGATTAAGTATTTATTATTAAGTAGATATCTTATCCAGTTCAAAGGTCAATATGCTTGTATGTAATGGTTACAAATATAAATGTAATATATTTTGTTGATTTAGGAACCATGTCAATCTTTTATAATCGTTTTCTTTGTTGGATAAAATATACCACAATTCCTTATCTAATTATTGAAATTTAGTGTGCCAACCAAAATTTAACTATGTTCTAGGCTTTTGGATTTGAATTGAATTATATGAGTTTTTTTACTCCATACAGTTCTAGTTCCAAAAAGAAAACATTTGTTAAACTAATAACAAAGTGTTTTGGTATATTTTACCACTCCAAGTTCCGTATCGAATGCTGGATCCGTCTAGAGAATGCGGAAGTGGAAGAGATGAATACCTTGAAACTTTGTCAGCTGCCTTTCTCTGTAATCATATAATTATTGAATAAAGTAATTAAATATCTGAATCAGAAATGTGTTATTCATTATTTATAAACACAGAATGGTATCAATAACTTAACATATAGAAATGTTTATCAAAAATATTCATTGAAAGGGTATTAGTTCTTAAATTATATACCCCATCAATTTTCTTTTTAAGGTCTAGACATTATTGACATAAGGTCTTTTGGCAGAGAGTAAAAGAACCTAGCACCTGCATTTATGGGTTTTGTATAATAAAACTCTATATTACCGGTGTGTCTCTGGTTGGCTAGGTAGTAACGATGTCGAGTATTGTAGTTATGTGAAGTTCCTAATATTATAATAATATTCTTTTCATTTCAGTGTCATTGTGATTTTTAAAATGTATAATCCTTACTCGGTGAAGATATTATATAACTCAGCAAAATGCTGTTTTACGGATTGTTTGTTATCTAAGTTTAACATAAAACGCATGGCTCTTTTTGTAAAACTAATAAAATACAGTAGAATATATTCCATAGGTTCCTAGGAATCTTTTGTTGACTTACTAAGTCCATTTTTCTTCCATGGTGCAAAGCAGAGGTTACCTCTGCACTTGCAAAGATTTATTGAAAACAATTAAAAATCCTTCAGCAATCTGAAATTTAAAGTACCTTGCATATTTATTTAGGTGAACTGTGCTACGTTCAGTTTTAGGCAGTTTCGGTTGTTGGATTGAACTTTTAATTTTTGTTAGGACAGGGAGGTAACTTCTGCGATGCCCCTGATAACGCAATGTGTAAATGAGGGGCTAACTTACGCGTGAGCTTGATGGATTCAACGTAAAATCGTGTTTAGTGCAGAATTTGTCAGGCTGTTTTTAAATATCTGTAAGTGACAGTTTTTGCTTGATGCATGCTAGCTAATACATACCTACCATTGGATCTTACAAAGTTAATGTTGATAAAGCTTTAACCAGCTACGAAAGACATGTTAGTATGAAATTAACAGATTTTACCTACGACCGGTTTTTAAAGTAGCCGTTTCAGTTCAGTTCTTAGAATTGAAAAGTATCTCATTTAACAGCATTGTTTACTTTCATAACAGCATAGTTTTATTTATAACAACACGGATAACAGACCAATGAGGTTCATGGATTGACAGAGAAGAAGTAAAATTGTAATGATTCGAACTTCAACTAATCAGCTGTTTAGGGCAATTTAATTGTCGAGTTGTGCAATTAGTGTTGATACAATGTTTTGTTGCATCACTGTCAATGTCAATGAGAGGTTATAAACAAAAACATAACCTCTCTTATAGAAGTTATGAGTAGTAATATTTAGTAATTAAAACACTGTCATAGGTAAAGTAGTGTACGCAACTCGCGTAAATAGTGTTAACGACTTTCGTAGAAGTTTTTAAGGCGACTTGTGTTGTTTAAACTATCTTTACGCAATCGTTGCGTATACTATAAGGTGACATTAATCATCCACAATTTAAGTTTTTTTTGTTTACAGCTATTTTGCTTACAAAGTTACAATTATCAGTTTTAAACTCACTTTTTCCATATCTAGTTTTGTTTTCTTATCAATTTAATGTATATTTAAATAACTTCATTTGGTATAAGCAAGCCTTCAACTCCATTTTCAGAAATATTATAGTACGACCAAATGTTAACAATTTTTCAAATATAACAATTTTTGTTTTAAATTCATAATTATTGATTATTTCATTCCAGCAAATGTTTTTTTTGTAATATTTAATTTTTTTTCTTGGCGTCAATAACAAAGCTAGTATTGGGTTAATGGCAAACCAATGTAGTTAGTCAATTTGGTTCTGACTTACCTGGACAGCCCTTAAGGCCTCTTTTTTACGTGAATGTTTGGTAACAATCGTCACCAAAGTGACGTAAACCGCAACCAATCCACACAGACCCAGAGATACAGAAGCTAGAAATACTGCTGACAGTCCACTCTTCTCTCCTAGATAAAACAACAACCAACAACTGTACTTAGCTCTGTTTGTTGGTACAGTAGAGCAGCGATTATCCTACCTTCTACTGTCCAACTTCCGTGTTAAGTAGCTTACACTGTTGTGATCGCAGGAAACGTTGTAAATGGTCTGGGATCAGCTGTTGAGGTTGCGTTCACTCAACTAGTATTCATTAGAACCAGATAGCCTAAGTTGAAATCATTCCTCCTTCATGGACTTAATCTTGCAATTCTTTGGTCTTTGGATTCCATTTATATTCCATTCCAAACAAAAAACTAACTTAATATCACAATACTCGTCAAAGTAAAATCATCACTGAACCGCAATGTGATTGGGCTCACACAGATTATTCCTCTGGGGAAACAATACACTACCAGATGTACACGCAGGCGTTTTCCAGTACTTCAGTAAACTACGGCTCACACTGACAAAGGGAGCAGGAGGGGGTGAAAAGAAAGTTGTATCTACTTCCTAGAAATAGGAGGGCGATGTACAGCAATGGGCACACACTGCTAAAACCAGGAAAACATATGTTTAATTTTAAAATGTCTAATATAATTAGGAAACCTCAACTTAGCACCTGACTAGCATTTGAATGAATGCCATTGAACGAAGACTACTAATAGAGTTTACATCTAATTATCAGTTTCCCCTGATAAAATCTCGGCCCACAGGTACAGTTAATTATAGACTACATAAAAAGTTGAAGTGAAGCTTGCCCCAAAGATCGATTGCTACAATGCATCCGAAAGGTTTCCCTGGGTTTTCTCCAGTTCAAAAACGCCGTAATCTGCTGAACACCAATATTTGACAGATTACTTAGACCGTAAACACCTACTTTCTAGTAACCTTGTGTAGTAGTTTGTTTTTTTCTAGTCTGTATTTTTTTATTTTATGATATTTATTCTCAATTGACAACTGTGATCTCTTCTGAGATATAGGCTAAGTTTTACATCTATGTTACATAAGGTCCACTGTGATAATGTTCATGACTCTGTTAAATTTTTTTAGTTTAGCTTTGACAATGTCTATTGCACAACTGTGTCTAATGACAATAAAGGATTCTTATTCTTATTCTTAAGGATGGTACCTGTAGTCTTTTTAAGGACCTGTAGAGGTTGTCGAGGTACATCCAAAGGTTGATTGTCAGCTGTGCGCAGATTTAGCTGACCAACATCTAGCGCTTGTGCCAACTCCATCATACACTCTTCAGCAGACATTTGTTGAGTGTTGCGCAACGCCATCGTGACCAGAATGCTACCTGTCCACAGAAACACCTGTTAGATATATTTCGTGGCTAAGTCGCTTTGCTTTTGCGGGCAGACATCAATTATGTAGCATCTCTTTAAATATAAAACGTGTACATAAACAACCATTAATGTACTCATTGCTTTTAAACAGGATTCTTGACACTCTCTTTCTCCCTTTAGAGAAAGATTGTTGCTATTTCAAACTATTTTATGAAACTTGAACTATATTAAACTTTATATTGTAATTACAACCTTAAAATAACTGATAGATGCAAGTATTGAGTAATTTTAGCCAAGTAAACCATTTTCAAACAAGTCCTAGTGATACATATGTTGTGTTTTTTTTCGTGTAGGAACATGACTCAGCATGCATATTCAAAATATACCGTTAACTGTACTGTTCTGATGTCCAAAGTTTAAATATTCTTGTTTGTATGTGTTGAATGCACTTTATATGAATCAACAACCTTTTGATGAACTAACTATGACATTTTTTCACATCTAATGACTAATGACAACTTTATAAGAAGTCTCACTACTTGCCGCACTAGCAACAATTTAGATTACATCGAAGCAGGTATAAAGCCAATTTGAATATTCAACGTCCTCTGGAGGTTAGTATGAAAAATAAACTAATTTATTTATATATTTGGATGGATGTATGATGCTAACAACCAAAATTATACTATATAAAACAATCATCAGTCCAGTATTATTATATGGAGCGGACACATGGAAATTGAATAAAAAGGAAGAGAGGAAATTATAATTAATTTTGAAAATAAGATTCTAAGACATATTTATGAAAATTCTTTTAAGAAAGAGAGGGTAGGAGAAGACATAATAACGAATTGAGAGAGATCTACAAGGATCCAGATGTGGTTTCTGAATTCATTAAAATGTAGAAGAATTAGATGGGCTGGGCAAGTTGTAAGAAGAGAGTACAAAATACAATAGTAATCTGAAACAAGAAAAGAACATAGAAGAATGGAAATGTGCTTACCGGTACTGTAACTCTACTAGAAATAGGCTACCCATTGATAAACTCTCATCTGTAGCCCACACTCAGGATCCCAACAATATCCAAGATAAAGTTACCTTTAATGGGTCAATGATAAAATATTAAGTTGAATGTGAATTCCTTCATGTCTAGTATCAGCGTAGATTAAGTAATATTTAATCGTACAATTTTAGCAACTTACCATCTGTCACATATATGTCTAAAATACTGTCTTTGGGAAGACTTAGCTGCTCTATCAGCTGATTTTTTATTAGATTACTGAATTCTGTAGAATTTTCTCCAACTACTTTACTAAATCTTTCTGCAATCCTAAAACAAACATGGATTATCCTTGAATATGAATTTTATTTCACTTATAAATTAATGACATAATGATATAAGGTGTAAGAATTCTAAAAAAATTAAACTTAGTGATGGTCAGGTCAGATTAGCACAGATGAAATAGATTTTAAAAGAAGGTGCTATGTTAAAACTGATATTGAATATAGACCATTGAAAAAGCTCAAATTTACTTAAAAAACATTAGAGTGGAGTTGGTATAAAAAATAAACGAGTGTGTACATCACTAGAGCCAAATAAAAATCTTGAATCAACGCCTTATTTGTTGAAAGAAAGTGTTAGTGCTACCTACACTACTAACAAACCAATAAGGCCAATGTACAAAAAAGGTGATATTGAAAATTAATGTCATAACAAGTGGAATAGAAACCTTTACAACAATTTAAATAAGGTTATTTGTTATTGCGTTTATTGTTGTATTGATTTCCTGCAATAATGTTTGTAGTAAAATTGTTAAGTAAAATAGACAATATTTGTTTTCAAAAACAACTGTGAAGGTGTCCTGTTTAGTTTGTATTATTGCGAAACATAGTCATTTATTATGGTTCACTAAGCGGTTACCTGAAAGCAACATTCTTGGGAGGTTGTGAATCCACTGTTGGAAGAGGAGTTGACGTTGTTGGAGGAATGGTTACAGTAGTGGTTGTTGTGGCTATTGTTGTTGTTGGTGGCTCAGTTGGCAAAGCTGTTGCAACACTGGTTGCCATTTCTGTTGTGGTAACAGTTGTTGTTGTTGCTGCTGTGGTTGTTGTTGTTGTTGTTGTTGGTATCAATGTGGCAAACACACTAAACAAAATAATTAATTTTTAATGGATAAAAAACAACCAATGAGTCACTATTTTGCAAAACAAATATGCAGATTAAGTTGACAGATGATTGCAGATTTGCTTTTGCAGCTAAGCTAAGGACTCATATTCAATTATCTTATAAGTATTAATTAATGTAATGGACGAATATTATAAATAAATGGAGTTTTAATAAAAATAAAAAGGATTTTCATATGGTTTAACGATTTGTGTAAGTAAAGAAATCACTCTAAACAAAGGCGTCCATTCATATGGTCTGGGGGGGGGACATTAACCATATTTTTGTAGATTGTGAGTAAAAAGATAAAAATTAAATATAGAAAATTATTATCATCCCAGCTCTCCTGTATGGATCAGAAAATTGGACACAATTTAAAAAATCGGTAAAGACGATTAGATATTGTGTTTGAAAATAAAATATTAAGATAAGTGAATGGACCAACCTATGAGTATGGACAATGGAAGTTCAATCACAATTGGGAAGAGATGGAGTTATTTAAAGACCCAGATACTGAAGTCGATATACCCAGGTACGGAGTAGAAGGATGAGATGGGAAGGACATGAGAAAAGAAGGCTCCTTATCAAAGTTGGTTCTGGAGAGAAAACCAAGAGGCAGAAGACCACTTAGAAGACCAAAGCTGAGACTAGGACGGAAGAAGGAAGTATCCCAAGTACTACTGGGAACCAGTGGCCACAGTAGTAAGTTTTCAAATTGTTAAAACTATTAAAAAAATAAGTTAGAAAAACAAATTTATGTACAAAATGTGAAAAATCAACCAATTTGTACTTAAATTTTAAATATTTCTTGCCCTTCCTCTTCCGTGGGGTTATTCCGTACCTCCCGGCCCCCTAAACTCCTTATAAAAAATAGGATGGGCATGCTTCTAAAGCACTTACCTATAATACTCATAGGGAGGACATCTGCAAGTAACTGCTGATTCGTTCACCTGGACCATCTCACATCTATCTGCTGTCCAAGTGTTTGACACAACGATACAACACTGTAATCACAAAAAACAATAACAATGAATTGCATTATTTTGCTCATATTCACTCACATTTATCCTTTGGTATAAGTATTTATGGAGGAACATCACAAGCTAATTTAGACAGAATTTTAATTCTCCAGAAAAGAGCAATACGCATTATGTTAAATTTGGATTGGCAAGATTCTGTTAGGGAAAAATTTGAAGAACTAGGCATAATGACTGTATATAGCTATTATCTCAATCAATGTATATTATATACTGTCCAAAATTCAAATAATGTCTCACTGGTAGGGGATTCTCATCAATACTGTACCAGAAACAGAAATAACTATGCAACACCTTCCCATAGATTAAGATTTTTTGAAAAAAAAACCAATGTATATGGATATAAAATGTTACAATGCTCTTCCAACAAAATAAAAGGACTACACAAGGACTACAAAATTTAAAAATAATCTAAAAATGTACTTTTTATTTTAACCAATCCCCTGTACTCAAAGAATGAATATTTCCTCCTACATAATATATTAGAATAAGAACTTTTTCAATAGTGATTATATCTTGTACTTTTTTAGGATTAAGCATAATGATTTTGATCCAATGTAATGACGCCATTCGTGCACATGTTTGCAAATTATGAATAAAGTTGATTTCATTTCATTTCATTTCATTTCATTTATCGTAACACCAATCTCTACATATATCAAATAAATTTTGTTCAGCTCCCAAAATGTTTTCCAAAAGCACATTGTTATTTATTATTTTTGTGCTTGTTTTGTGGTAGTTTCTTGCATTCTTCTTCTTGCTGTTGCTTAAAACTGTTATTTCAAACTGTCAAATTTCTGTGTAAACGCAATTGAAGTACTTCAAAATCATGATTTGATTTTATGCCTCCCTCACATTATTTGTACATGAAATAGTACTTATGGTAAGAATGCTGCTAGCAGTGCCTATTCCCTAAAAAAGTAACAGAAATAGTATAGGTATTGAAGTTTTACAAACGTAATTTAAGAAACGGTTGTAGTAGTGTAAGCAACTCTCATTATTAGCCTTTGAGACAATGGTAGAAGTTTTTAAGGCACTTGCCAAAGCTAGTGCTTTAAATTTCTACTCCTGTCGTAGAGACTATCCTTATACTATTGTTGCGTAAACTACTATTACGATGTTCACTACTTTTTTTGTATATTTGAGTCCTGTTTCAACAATCCTCCTAAAAGTGTACAAACCTTGATAACATGTTGTGGAGATGGCAGAGGAGACTCCAGTGGAAAACCCAGTTTCAGTGTTGGTGATGGAGCTTCTTTAAATACATTGCTCAATGAATAAGTAAGGATCTTTAGACGATACACCGAGCTAAAACATAAACATATGGCCTTTAAAATTATGTCTAAATAAAAAAAAAAAAAACTGTTAACATGATTTCTTCTGAAAAAATGTATTGGTACTGTATGTTGATAAATAAAAATGCATTTTCTATTATTAGACATTCTGCATACACAATTTTCTCTCTGTTAACAAAGTTTTATGGATCTTGACAACAATAGCTGCCTTAAAATATCCAGGAAATACAGGGTGCGGCAAAAAAAAACTATCTATTTTATGCAGTGCACTGTTCATCAACAGGTCTTCTGAGCTGAGAGTGGTGGGTTTAGGCTCGTTAGAAAGCCTATACGATGCCATTATCTGTGGTCATAGAGCAGTGGTCACCTGAGCAACAAGCGTTTGTTATTGAGTCGAATTTACAAAGTAATGATTCAGTCATTGCAACTCAGCGGCAGTTTCGTGCATTTTTTTAAAATTTGGGCGACGTCGATTCCGTCAAGTGGCACAATCATTTGGTGAGTTACCAACTTAAGAACAACGGCTTCTGCGTTCAAAATTAAGCTGACAAGCCGTCCAAAGTCAGATCGGATGTCAGACAACTATAACATTCGATAGAGTTCGTCCTGCTGTGGAAAACAGTCCTCGTAGGCCCGCCCGAAACTAGCATCTGCTTTAAACATGTCTGACCGCTCAGTTACACTAATTTTGAGATTCAATCTTAATTCTTATTCCTACGGATTAATTTGTATTAATCTGTAATTTTGTTGATTATCCATACATATAATCCAACGGAACCTCTCCATGTTGACCTAATTTAAAGAATTCATGGAAATGCCGCTGAGTTTTGCAATGACTTAATCATTACTTTTTTTAAACGACTCGATAACAATCGCCCGTTTCTCAGGTGACCACTTCTCTATGACTACAGGTAATGGCATTGTGTAGGCTATCCAACGAGCCTAACCCCACCACCCTCGGACGACCTGTTGTTGAACAGTGCATTGTACAAAGTAATTAAAAATCCTGATAAAAATTAATAATGAGAACTATAAATTCCATGTGTCTAAACGACGCATATTGTCACTGGTCAATGCCACAGTCTATCTTCAGTATTTCTTAATGACACCTCTAATATATAAATAATGTAACCGCTTAATTTTCTATATTAAATTTTATGTTTTGTATCATTAAAAATAAAAACTGGTTTTTTGCCTAATCAATTTAATATTTTATAAAGATACGGATTTAAACATAATAACCATTTTTAAAGCTTGTATTTTTATGAGTAAACTGGCACTTGTTGCACTGTTCTATGTCAAATGGTTCTCGAGTTATACGTGTTTAAGTAAACGGCACCCCCACCATATCCCCCCCCCCCCCCCGGGATGTCGACCACGATGGGGGTTACAACATACGTTTTCATTATCACTATAGTGCCTATAACAACAATCAGAAATAAAATTGCGTCAGCCTTTCCATGCATACTCAACCCCCTTCAGATCCTGGACTACATGCAGAAGTGGATCAAGAGGCCAGGTCATAGGATTCATGATTCTCTCTCAAACCAAAACTTGGAATCTATATTTTTAAGTCTCTAATACATGTCTTAGATTTGTATTTGAGACAGATTCTTGACAATGTTTAAAGCATCATTAAACTTAAGGTTTTGGAATAATTTAATAATTTGATCCTCAATTTACAGATCAATGTCAGAGTACTTTGATAATTAGTTAATCATCTATTTTTCTAAAATCTCCCCCTTAATTGAAATATGTAAATACTCATCCTATGTAGGCTTGCATGGCTTACAACACTGTTAGCCTAATTTTCAAATTGGTAATACTGAAGATCTTTTTGACTTTTTTGTGGTCATACCTAACAAAGTCTTGTGTCATGTAATCAAATTTACCAAATGATTCACATTGTCATTTGATAATTAATTGCAGCATCTTTACCAACACAGAATAACAAAATGAAAATATCCCCAAAAACTTTGAAAAATTTTTCAATCAAAAGGATTTATAAACATTAAATTTGCAGCACTATATTACTTGTATCTCGTATACTGTAGCTACTTAGCTTGCCTGGAATATATTATTTTATGCCTTTTTGTTATATAAGTTACAAACCTCAACTGAATGAAGCCTGGCGATGTTTTGAAAACCGTATCTAATGAGCCGAATGGAAAATGAAATCCTGTGAGGCAAATTGGATCCAGATTGACTCTCATGAATTTGCTGATAAATTCTTTACCTAGGTGGACCTGTGTACAGAAGTTAAATAAATTGACGCAATCTATACGATAATGTCGTTCAAAGATGAAGACATCAAGTATCAAGTAAGTAAAATAATATAAGTATCTATATAGTTTTATGAATTAGTTTCTGAGTAAAGTTAATTGAACTTAACATATTCAAATTTAACGAATTTAAAGTTATAGTTTAAGTATAGAATATATTGAATTACAAATTATATCGAACACTCAGATAAAAAGACAAGGTCACTTCTAATCAAATGAACTCATCAACAAATTTAAAATTGAAATATGTACATATGATATGAAAGAAAAGAAACACATGAAACAAATGCTTTACATTGATTATTATTATTTACAAATTGAATGTTTTCAATGAGGGAATAAAGAGAATAATATTTATTTTTCCCTTTGTGATGCTACAGTCAAACCGAGCTAAACATGAAACACACATCAAAAAAGGCTTAAATCTGTATTCAACTTATGTATACAATTGACTTGTATGTGTCAGTTGTTCAACTTACCTTAGCAGGTAAAATGTCGCACTTATCTGGACAGTTGGGAATGTTCACCTTCTGACCATTGTCTGCAGTACTTAGCTTTTGAACACTCAAGTTCACAACACGGCTACCTACATTAAGTCATATTTTTAATTAAGTTTATGAATATTAACGTATAATATTGCTCTGTAAAATTTTTAATCTTTTTATTCTTCCCATGCTAAATGTAAATCTACATTAAACTTGGCCTGATTTTTTTTAGCTAAGTTTCAGATTTACAGCAATTTGCAGAATCTGGAAATAGATTAATCAAGAAGAGGCTGTCTGAAATATTTAATATCTCATTCAAAAATTGTATATGAAAGTTCTCCATCTCTTTCTTATCTAAAATCATGGAAAATAGAAGATACAATATATCATTTTTCATTGCTCCATGGTATGTGGTATTTCATGGTTGTTAACCTCCAGGATATAACATAGAGGTATTGTTGTAACAAGGTATTTTAGTTTCTGGGCAAAATGTAACAATTGAGGCCAATACAACACACACATTTCGATTATGTAAATGATCAAATTCCAGTATGGTTAAAATTTTTACTTCTGACTGCCAATCATGGCAATTGCTACCATTTTACTAATGTTCATAGACCTACCAAGATAGATGGGTCGAGAATCTGGAAGCCACTGACACAGTCCAGCTATGTAACCGTCCAGGTTAGTCAACAGTTTTTGTTTTTCTTCTAGACTTTTACTTGGGCTAAAGCTAAGAATGGCAGCTTCTGAAGTTCTAAGCCAAATTTCCACCTGCGAGATAAAATAGTTTTATACTTAAAAAATAAATAAACAGGCCTTTATTTGTCAAGTTCTCAGTGTAACAACTGTTTTTTTAAACAACTCTTATCCTACTTTTATTACAAAATATACAGTATAATTAAAGTACAAAGTATAATTGATATTATATAATTACATTTTAAGATAAACAATAACTTCATTATGTGATTTTCAAATCACATTGACATATGATGTTAAATTTGATAAAAATTTCTCCCACTGTGTTTTCACTCTTCTGCTCCAGGAATAGACTAAGCGTTTTGATGTTGATACATCATCATCAGATCACACAAAACTTGAATGTTTAAACCATTGTTAAGATGATCATGTCACAGTTGTTGAAAAATAAACACAACATTGAATAACATAAAAATTATCTGAAAGAAACGTCTTAAAGCATATTGCAGCATCCATTGGATTCAGTCCTGTTATCATTGATAATTTGAAAAAGCAAAAAATCCTGCTAAAAATTCACAAAGAAAACATGAATATATTTTAGCAGAAAATGGTGAAAATTGTCTCTAACGCTAAAAAACTAAATGTAAGAACTTCGCGAAATAGTAACATTTAGAACCTCTTTAAAATTAGATTAGCTTGTATAAAAGAAACAGACGTGGTGATTTGATAAAAAGAACCAGTAAAAACCATCCAATGACTGCAATAATTTTTTAAAGGTTAAATAAGGGCGGTCCTTTGACAAGAGATATAAAGAGCACACTTTAAACAAAGCTGTCAAAATACAGAAATCAAACTATGCCGAAAATCTGGTGGTAAACAAGTGGTTTAAAAAAGACATTTTGTACTTACTGTATTTGGAGTCTCCGGAGGTATGTCCGTTGGTATTGACTGCTGCCGTTTTTCTCTGACGACCCTTGGTTCCATAACTAGCTGAGATTGGAGCCTCCCTGCTTAAGCACAGTTAAAATTATAATGTGTAGCAAAATATACCATTTTTATTGTTAGTGCCTATGACAGTAACATTTTGTATTAAATAATGGCAAAGGTGTAAAGCAGTATTAACGCTTTAAATGTTTTTGGTATGCTAGGATAGGAATCAAAGCTGATAAGTCTGAAACGTCAAAAACATCAACCACTGGGCTATTAAAATACCCAAAAACCGAAATCTATATTAAATTATCTTATTAATTTTTTATCACAAATGCTGTGCATATGCACACACAGGCAAACATTATTCCTAAATCATATTCTTCAGGTCCAGGAGCATATACACAAATTTTAAAGTTTCATGAACAATTTAACCAAATGTAGAATTGAAGTCTTCTGGCGACGACCATGTCAAAAACGACGAAAAACTAACTTTTTTTCATCTGTGACTTGATTTTTCTTCTGTGCGGAGTCAAGTCGCCCTGAAGATGATACTCTGTATCGAGGCCGAAACGTCGGTAAGTGTTAGTGTTTCATCGTTTTTGACACGGTCGTCGCCAGAAGACTTCAATTCTACATTAAGTGACCGTGGAAGCCATGGAAAATTTAACCAAATGTTTGTAATTTCTTCTCCTACTATGATTATTTAAAAACAATATGAAGTTAATTTCACGCTAGAAAAACAAAAATTACTTTATCAATAAATGTGCTCTATTACAAAGAATAAAAATAATGTATATTGCTTAAAATAACATAATCATTAATGCTACAGTAAATTAAGTTGTATTACTACTATTTACATAGCAAGCTTCAACAAATAAACAGCTTCAAGATCAACCTATCTAAATTGGTCAAAGGACATAGAAAGAATAATATTAATATCATTTTATTATTATAACCAAAGGTGGGTGTTACTATCGTAGTATTGGTTAGCATTTACTTCAGTGCAAAAGGGGCAAGTTCAATTGCGGTACATTCTCCAAATTTTGGGGTTTAAAATGTTTAAAAACTTAAAAGCATTTTTTACTTTCAGTAAATAGGCTACTGGTGTAGACACTAAATTAATTTTACAAAATCAGAGGAAGAGAAAGTATAATAAGGGGTGTTTTTAGTGGGTCACCAGGAGGGAGGTGGACAGGCATCCCACATACCCTTAGGGTGGGACCCCCTAAGGCATCCGTTTTCAGAATTCCCCTCTCCAAAAAATAAATATATGTCTGACCTGAGGGGTTAGGCTTGGATGCAGGTGTTGAGGCCAATTTATCCCGAAAGGCTACCACAATTGTTAAGGAAGAGTCGTTAAGTTGTAGCTGAGGAAGAACTCTGGTCACGGAGTCGAGAAACAAAATTGCGTCCAGTCTCGAAGAAGGGTCTTTATCCAATCTGAAAAAACCGACATGGATCTGAAATATTCAGTATGGTAGTCATAAAACTTTAAATGACAAATTAAAATAATTATCTTATATTGCTGGGTAGCTAAGTGGCTATAGTAGTGCTCGGCTAGTAACCAGAAGTTTGCCAGTTCGATCCTGAGTAAACTGAATGTTTTTTTTCCGGTTTGATAATGGACCCGGCTGTCCTTGTTCCAAAGCTGTGCTCTTAATAAATGTTCTAGGTTAAAGATCCAGCTGATATTAGTCTTTAATTGCTATTATATCCTTGTGTTGTAATTTCAACATATCTTGAACAAAGCATCAAACTCACCTTTGAGAGGTAAGATTGATCCTCTCAAGTATTGCTTCAGTGATACTACTGGTGAGGAGTTGGTTGCTGCTTTGGTCCTTTAACATTTTAGTGGTGCTGATGATAGAAGTGGCTAAAGTCATTGCCTCCAACGGATCACCACTTGCTATTAATGATGATGTCAGCCTAGATAAATATCTGAAAAAATACAAGAGAAATGATTTTTTAGTGTTAGTATGGTTAGTTACAACATTCAAATTTTCATGAAGAAAATTTAAAAAGATTTTAACCCTCCGAGTGTCCCTTGTTTTGGTCTTAATGTCTGCCTATTTTTTGCTCATTTGCAAGGTTTTATTAAAACGGATCTGAGAAGCTTGAAAACAACGTTAATTATACTGTTCTATATACCATTTTGTTTGGAAAATCATGGGCTTCAATATTATACATAGAACCTAAGGAACATTTGTTTCAAAAATTTTTTAGGTAAAAAAAAAATATTTTGGAAAATTTTCAAAAAAAAATAAGTTCGCACTCAATGAAATTGTATAAATTATATAGTCCAGTCAAGGAATGAGGTGTAGAGTGCGTGAGCAGGTAACTAAGCGATTCCTTCAGAAACTTGTTCAGGGGGCTTAGGGTGTTAACATACCAAAAGTCCTGACTCCTAGGTGGTGAGCCAGGGGGTGGAGAGGGGAAAAGGGGGGGGAGAAAGGTACGCATTTTGGGTTTTTTGATTATATCTCGAAAACTATCAACTTTTTGTATACTATAGTAAATTATAAAATTGAAGAAGATTAAATTTTCTACAAGAAAAGTATATAATGTGTTTATTTTGGTTCAACAGGATTACGAGTTATAACTTATTTAATTGATATCTTATTAAAATCTTCTTCCATAAGAAATACATGTAAATTAGTATGCGAAATGGGGCGAATCCTATCCGCCCAAAGGAAATATAACTGATATTCTGGAAATCTTGACAAAATTTCCAGTAATTTGACACTTTAATCATTAAAATTGATCGTAAATTAAGGCGAGGGTGAGGTAACAAAATTTTGAGTTTAGGTGTTTTTTTTATTGGAAATATAAAAAAAACCCTTAAATCATCCCATTTTTAAACGCTCACCCACACTTTAATTTTTGACAAAATTTCATGATTAAAGTGTCAAATTACTGGAAATTTTGTCAATATTTCCAGAATATCAGTTATATTTCCTTTGGGCGGATAGGATTCGCCCCATTTCGCATACTAATTTACATGTATTTCTTATGGAAGGAGTATTTTAATAAGATATCAATTAAATAAGTTATAACTCGTAATCTGTTGAACCAAAATAAACACATTATATACTTTTCTTGTAGAAAATTTAATTTTCTTCAATTTTATAATTTACTATAGTATACAAAAAGTTGATAGTTTTCGAGATATAATCAAAAAACCCAAAATGCGTACCTTTCCCCCCCCCTTTTTTCCCCCTCCATCCCCTGGCTCACCACCTAGGAGTCAGGACTTTTGGTATGTTAACACCCTAAGCCCCCTGAACAAGTTTCTGAAGGAATCGCTTAGTTACCTGCTCACGCACTCTACACCTACTTTTGGATCATTCATTGACTGGACTAATAGGCTTATAAATATTTGAAAATAGCCACTTTGTTCTAAATTTTATGAGGATTACAAATATATAATAATATAAGGAAGTAGATTTGCAAATAAATAAGTTATGGGCAAAAAACAGATTTCAGTACATAGCGTTTAGCTAAGAATGCATAGCCTAACCATAGCTAGGAATCTGGCTGATTTTTTACATCAATATCAGTACCTACTTCTTCAGGATCATCAACCAGCCCTTTAAAATCACTTAAATCTTCTTATAATGCACCACGTATATCACTACTTTTGATTTTTAACACTAAAACAATGATAAACGTAATAAAACACATCAGTCATCGGTCCGAGGATAACCAAGCTGTTTACAAATACGCACGTCAGCTGTCTGCTACAATATTTTCGGAACTAAAATGAATAGCGCTTAGAGACAGACCTCCGGAGAAAGCTCTGAATCTGTAAAATAAAACGATACCTAACTCGATCCAGTTCAATCCGATTTTGTCAGTCATAGAGCCCTTGCCGTAAACAGTGTTTGTGAGTCGCTGCAGCGACACAAAACACTACACAAAGTGTGTTATGTGTCGCTGCAGCGACAAATTAAGTCGGGGACAAATTAAGGAGGGTTAAGTCTATATTTTAAGTTACCGAAATTTTTCTATTACCGGATTGCTTTCTATAAATATATTTCTGACTCTCCCTACAATATTCTTATAATTTCTCTATAAGACGTTGAAGCTTAAAAATACATTTTTACTCAAATTCAACCAGTTCCATTCAAACATATGTTTTTATGGATACATACAAAGTCATAGTAAGAATTTTCTTTTAAATTGCAAAATGCATGAGCAAAGTGCATCTCACTACTACAAGAATTGTCAACTTCTACACTATCCATCCACCATTTTTAAAGTAAGCCTGTCCCAATAAGCTTGACACAGACATTTTGCTCCCAGGTTGCAGCATACATCTCAGTTTTGGCTGTTTAGTTGAGATTAGCTCTGATAAAATTATTGTACTTGAAGGTTTTGCAAAGTTATTCGTGATGTTCAATAATCGGTATATTTGGAAGAAATGAAGAGTTATGGACTACCCATAGATTAAAAAAACTCTGTTAGGAGGGAAAAACAAAATCGATGGTGCTGTGTGTGTGTCTTGTCGCCACAGCTATACCTGACTTGTTGTGGAGTCAGCGAGGTTGGAAGAGCAGTGTTGATCAAAGGGCCATCTCTAAAGGAGCAAACTTTTTGAGCGGAACAAACTCTCAGCAACGTCTTAACTTGGCTGCCTCCATTACTGACTGTAACACATAAGTTGAATAGTAAGGTTTGTCAATGATTATGAATGGTGTAATCTGGGAATTTCAAACAAAACATTGAAGTTACCTAGAAGGAACTCTTATCAAATCCATCTGAAGAACCTAAAAACTCTTAACAAATTATCAGAAGACTAATCAAGTTTTAGCCACTTTGTTGATTCATTTATTCAAATAGGTTCTTAGTAATAGCAATTTTACACTTTTAGATCCATTTCCCAGTATAAATATAATATAATAATGAGTATTTAGGTTTCCTTCCAAATATACTGGAAGATTGTTGAAGATTGTTGATTTTATTATACTTTAAAAGCGTATAATCGACTTAATAAATTTTTCAAATGTTATGATCTGACAATTTACAACAGTTTACTTAAAGTTACCTCGTTAACACAATTTACGTTATCTGATTAAGGATTTTGTTTTATATTAATACAATATTCAACATTAGATCCATTCAAGGTCTGTTTGCTATCATAAAATAATACCTAACACTTATCAAACAAACTTACAAACAGGTAGAATAGTCTTAGTGGAGAGGAAGTATGCAGAAGAGTAAACATAAACAGGCGAGCCTGTCGGTGGATAATACCCAAAACTGTAAACACTGCCAAACTTAGTAGTCCTTTTCGTTGAGAAGTTGAAAAGAGTAATCAACGCTTCTCCTTGAGCAGGAGATACCTAGACAGCATAAAGATCAAATAGACAAAAAGTTGTAAATTATGTATAAAAAAATATTTAGCAAATTAATTTCCCTATGACTCATATTAGGTTGGATGATATAGAACAACTTAAAAGTTTAAATATCCTATAAATAACTAATTAAATATCCTGCTAATTTAAAATTAATTAGAAAAATATTGATTTTTGTAAACAATGCCTGTTTGGTTATATTCCGTCAAAATCAAAGAGAATATATCAGAACATGTGTGTGAAGAGGTGGTGAAGAGGTGCCTTCATTCATACCAAGATGCAAGTTGGCTGAGAGGAGCTTAAACATATCAGATTACCATCTCAGACACACAGATATAGATGTAGTACTCAATTGAGCATACATTACCAATACTTACTCACTCACTATTCAATAATTTTCAAATCAGTTGGTTTGATTGTGTTGGATAATATTATTTATGTTCACATTATATAGTATTAGAATCATCTTCTATAATAATAATATCTATGGTTCTTACCGTCAACGCAATCAGGAGTAATATTCCACTACGGCCGTTTCGGAGATGACTCCATCGTCAGGTGCGTAGTGGTACACTAAACTATAGTCTTGTCACATTTAACACGAGTTTTCTTCATTTGCATTGCGTCAGGGGTTGAATAAATAATACATATACAGGACGGACACACGAAAACACGAATACAAGAAAACATTTAGAGCACGTGCACGGCTTGTAACGGCTTGAAAACTGACGACCAACTGTTCAATCCTGGTCACTGCAGGAGTTACGTGGATGACTGGAACAGCTGATAACACGGTGTGCCAACCTTATCTACTCAAATTATTACTTTCCTGTTTGATTTCTATTATTCTCTCAAAAATTGGATTGGCTGCTGAATTTGTTTGGGAGTTAATTACTAAGTTGGGTTCTTTGGCTGTACTGCTGTAGATATGGAAATTTTCGATGCAATTAAGTTTGTGACTTTTATTGCCAATATGTAGTATTTCTAAACTGTTTATGTCGGAATAATCATGGCAATACTGTTGAATATGTTCGGCATAAATTGAAGTAGGGTTGGGTTTCTTAATGGCGCTTATGTGCTCTTTATATCTGGTTTTAAAGCACCTACCAGTCTGTCCAATAAAATACGAGTCACATTCTCCCTCCTCCATTCCTCTGGTTGTGAGCAGTAAGTACTGCTTACAGAACCAGTAATAGCCTCCAACGTAAGCTGTCTGCTCCTCAACATAGGAATACACCATTGTTGGAAAAGCCAGGTGTTTACAAACTTAAGTGTGGAGAACCCAACTTAGTAATTAACTCCCAAACAAATTCAGCAGCCAATCCAATTTTTGAGAGAATAATAGAAATCAAACAGGAAAGTAATAATTTGAGTAGATAAGGTTGGCACACCGTGTTATCAGCTGTTCCAGTCATCCACGTAACTCCTGCAGTGACCAGGATTGAACAGTCGGTCGTCAGTTTTCAAGCCGTGCACGTGCTCTAAATGTTTTCGTGTATTCGTGTTTTCGTGTGTCCGTCCTGTATATGTATTATTTATTCAACCCCTGACGCAATGCAAATGAAGAAAACTCGTGTTAAATGTGACAAGACTATAGTTTAGTGTACCACTACGCACCTGACGATGGAGTCATCTCCGAAACGGCCGTAGTGGAATATTACTCCTGATTGCGTTGACGGTAAGAACCATAGATATTATTATTATATTTCCACGCAATCTGCCACACTCAACAATATCATCTTCTATATTTTATAAAGATATTACAGCAACTGACCTCTAGCACTTCTATGTTCGGTATGGAATCCAATTGCACCAAAACGTCTGCGTGAGCGTATTCAGCAGCACTGCAAAATGTTGAAAACCGTAGACAATATTGAGCACCAGGCTGCAACAATCTGGCTGGTAACATCAGAGTCAAGTCTCCCCTGGTTCCTGATGTCAACTCTTTGCTACTCCCACTCTAATACAGACAGAGTTTCATTGAGTTTAAGTAAATGGTATATTTTAATTTAAATCAATGTAAAATTTGACAGTGCAACACCAAGCAGTTTATTTGGTTTAAGTAGTCATCACTCATCTTTGTTTATTCACTGATACTGTCTTCAGTTGAGAAAGAATCTAAAAAATCACTATAGTACAGACACCCAGCCAAAGTTGCAAAACTTTACTAAAACCTTACCTACTTTGATCCATTTTACTACATTATTGGAAAATGGTCACCATAAATCCTCAAATGGCAAAATTGTCTTTCTATTGCCAAAAATTATCCCTAAACAAAGTTTTTGCAATATTTAAATGTATAGTCTCAAATCTTACCGCATTGCCAAACGGAAGAAGATTACACCCGAGAGAAGGCAGAGACGTCCACTGGAGTTTACAGCCAGGTCTCACTTCTGCGGCAGAGCCTGAGACAGTCAGGTAGGACAGAGACGTCCGGGAAGTGATGGACGGAGGCCCAACTGTCAGGACGGGAGGATGCCCAGGCATAACCTCAACATCTGCAGATGACACTGCTACAACATCTTCCTCTTGTACACTCACAACTGCCACTGTCCACTTATACCTTTGGATGGGTGAAATGAAGAATTAAAAGTGACTCATTGCTCGACCATTGATTAGACATACTACTGTTGGTCTATTGTACAAACAAAACTAGTCAGAAAAAGCTCAATCGTAGAAGTTAGTTTAAAACTCGGCTTGCAGGCTGCACCAGGGTTGCCTGTCCTGATTCTGCCGGGACAGTCCCGATTTTGGTTCCTTATGCCCGTATTTAAGCCTATGTTAATCCGAGACGGAGGGGGGCAATATCCCAATTTGTCCCTGACCTAAGGTGGCAACCCTGGGCTGCATCTCTAAGGGTATAGTTTATCAGCTGTTTTGTTCAGTTCTACTTTGGAGTCTTTGGGACTTAATAGTTTACCTTATATGAAATAATGAAATAATGATTTATTCCACCAGAATTACATAAAATACAAATGAAATAAAAACTCGGAATTACGTTGCCACATCATCCAGTTAATGTTTATTGGATTACCTTTGTTTTAGCATGTAGTTCTTGAGTATGTAAGAGGTTTGTTTCATCCTATGAATTTTGTAAATACCTTAAAGACCTCTTCTGGTGTGAGTGATAAGAAGATAAATTGGGAAGAGCCCTAAAGTTGCCACACAAGCTGGCAAAGTTCGTAGGGTGACATAAACATCTTGCCTACTCAAGAACTACAGGCTAAAACAAAGGTAATATGATATAGTTTAAGTTCTTGAAACTTGGATAGAAAATAAAATAAATTATTAAAAGGTTACTTTAATTTGTTTCAAGATTTCGCCTGACAGTTTTGTGCTACATTAACAGAATGAATGGAATATGAGAAACTTTTTGAAGTGTATTACTATTAAGGAGTTGTATCAAAATATATCCTGTATTGATAAACTTATTCTCTAAGAACCTGATGTTTCACATACCCGTAAAAATAATTATATAAAAATATGGATTACAGATTGATATAACAAACTTAAAGGAAAAATTGATTTGAAGAAACTTACCTTCCAACAGAAAGTGAACCAGGTGGTAACTTCAGTTTTGGATTAGAGAGAGCAGAACTGAAAATTGTTGATACTAATTGTTTTGATCCTGGAGCAACGCATTCCTGCCCATCCACTGTCATACATCTCCAGAATATCTTAAAAACAAATTGTGTAATGTAAATAAAACATTTATTGATACTGCAGAATGATATAGAAAGTTTTTAAATCTAGTAATTTCTGTATATCAATGAAAGTATCTATACAGTACAGATACTTTTATTGTTTTTTAACCTATCCTAGGAGTCTTCATAGGATTATATCTGAGTCCTATATGATCACTATACCATACACTAATACTAAAAAAAATGTAATATTCAACACTAGCTCGGCCAATAACCAAATACCATGATAAAATCAAAGTTAAAACTTAATTGGGCGATTTTCATTTATATCAGGGTTTGGAACATAGGGAATAAAAAATCCAAAACTAACTAACTATCCACTGAACTTGAGCTCAGTCATTTTAGCTCCATAAATTTGCATCATTAATATATTTGCATTATTTAACTACCAAGCCCAACCTTCGAGTGTTAATTATTTTATATATATAGATAGTATATACCTGAAAACTAGAAATATTTGTATTCTGCAGAGAATTAGAGACATCCAAATTAAGAGTTTGTCCAGTTCCCAATATGAGATTTTTTGGTATTACAGTCAGGACTATTTTGGCTGGCTCGACCAACACTTGGACGTCTGCCTAGAAACAGAGTGTTGAAATTTTAAAAGCACAATGTATATTCATAGGTTTAGGATTTATTACTAAGCTTGGTTTCAAATTTGTTGGGTTATTGAATTCTTATTTAATTGAAAATACAGGAAACGGTGCCAACCAGGTAAAATGTAACTCAAAATATTATTTTTAAATATTATAAAATATATGGTTCCTGTGATTAATACTGTAAAACCCTGACTAACCAAGATGAAGGTCAAGCCGTTTTAGAAATCTAATTTTTTGTGGTTAGTCAATGGTAGAAATTTCAAGTCTGTGTTTATTCAAAAATATTTCAAACGTTATTTATGCTATTTCAATTAATCTCATTTTCAACTGTATACACAAAATTAATTTTTTTAAATAATTGATAGGTGTTTACTCAACTTCTTCTATTCCACTATATGATATCTATGTCGTTGTCTGCTTCATTACATTCCGTTGGCCAAGCAGATAGTTCCCGTTGTCTAGATCATTTTCCAGTTGATTTGACTAGTGCTACAACCTTAGTCCCAAAATCAATGTCTGGCATAGCCCAAGGTACGACCACTGAGATGTTCAGTAAATACTACACTTTTGCTCAGTTTTATGGCTCATCATAATGATAACGTTTTAAGTTCATAAATACATATAACTAAAAGAGTGATTTAGATTTTCTAAATAATTAAGTACAGACCTGAGCTAAGGTGATAGAGTTGTTAGACATTATGCAAGTGATATTGTAGAGACCAGTGTCTTGGAGCAAATGTCCAGGAACCGTCACTTTGAACCAACTGGAATACAAGGCCGTAGTTCTGTTGTTCTTAGTAACCTCCCATTGATACTGAAACATACAAAACATTATCTGTAAGAATTTTACGGTTAAACAATTATGTTGAGTTGGTGGTTTAGTTGGTAGCCCAACAGACTCTAAATTTGCATACGGGTGTTGCAACAGTAATAGTATATTATGTTACTAGTTCGGAAAATAGGGGTTTACCAGATGAGTGTCGTTGTTCCTGCACGAGATGAAGTCAAGTGTGGTATTACCATACGAGTACGGTAAACACATTTTGGACAAGTGACATATGATATTGTTTCTGTTTGGCATACTAAACATACTAATTTAGGTAAACTATTCTAAAAAAAATAATGTTAAAATTTAAAATCCAGTATATTTTCCCGTTTCCACCCATATAGGAACATATAGTGGTACAATCACTACTCATAACTTCTCTGAGAGGTTATGTTTTCCAACAGCTGTTTTCAGGACAAAACCCATGCATAAAAACTGGCGAGTGACGATGATGATGTTCTGAGATCATGGCAAATTTCACGATTGCGCGTTATGGTTGCCATGGTGTGGTACGAAGCCTGATCTACATTTTGCCACTTGTGTGACATCAAATATACGATGAATTCAACAGTCAGACATTGACAAGTGTATCACCGATCCGAGACTACGCTATCACACTGGGCTTCAATGAAATACAAAGACAGTTCTCTATGAAAACTGAAAACATTCCTTTTTACTTGATTGGAGGATCAACAGCATTAGGATGCTCAAAATCATTTAGTCCACAACATTATCATATTACGGATTGCCATTGATAATTGGCGGAATTGAATTCCAAGCCAGTAGTGCAGAAATCCTGCTCTCTAACCACTATAGCTGTACTCCCTAAACACTATAGCACCCTCATAAACTTGAAAGAAACCAAAACACAAGCGAATGTAATTGAATGAATGCATTTAATTTGAAATTACATAATTCTTAAATGGTGCTGTAAAACTTGTGAATTACCTTGAAGTTATCCAAGCACACAACGCCACATCCTGAGGTTACCCTTGCTTCCAGAGGAAGGGGTTGTGAGGCTGGGGTGCTTTTTGGACTTAATATGATCAAGCCAATGTATGGATCTTTACTGTTTTCTACCAACTGTAGGTCTAGTCCAACTGAGGGTCCAACAACTCCTAGCAAGTTTCTAGCTGCTACTTCTATACGATAATTTATATTTGGCATTAGCTGTAAAATTAAAATTTAACATTAATATCTTTAAATAAACTTATAAATAAGCTGTAAGCAAATAAATACGTTCGCTGCTGAAAACCTTTACACAGACGCTCCTAAACTGCGGCGAGGCCCGGGCAGAGCCCCGGTGCGCTACTGAATCAGCGGTCGCTATTGGCATTGAAATATCTCAGTAAGACGAATCACAAAAGAGCAGTGGTGCTTGTTCTGCGTTACCCCGAATGTGGACGTAGTTCACTGAAACACCCAAAGGTAGCAGCACTGCCTGGATAAATAACCAGAGTCTTTGTAATATGGCTTGAATAGAGAAAATCCCCAAAAACGGGACAAAAGCATTGCCAGAAGGAATTTTACGGGAATGTTTAGTACCAGCCTACACCAAAATAAAGCTCCTATTCCAAGCTACAGCCTGGCAACAATCACATTGTAGCCAGCTGAGTGCTGGGCTCAGACAGATGCAATATTTGGCAGGCGAGCACACTACTGATATAGCAGTAGGCCGCAAGCAGTGCCAGTGCTGCGCTACTGCTATTACGGTAGGCCGCAGCGAACGTGTTAAGCAATTTATTGGGAGGGATCTATAACATTGGTGTAGGGCTGGAAGCCAAATTTACAAACATTATTGAAATTTGAGGAAATGTTCAATCCTTAACATGGCTCAAACCTCAAGGTTGTACTGAACAACTAAAATGTTTACCAGATACAAATCTTAAGGATCAGGCACCTCTCTATGTTATTCTTATGGCTATGCATAGGTCAAATTTTGTAATTTACTAGCTTATGCATTTTTTTACTAAGCTATATTAACATTTAAAAAAACTTAAGTTACTTTGCATGTAGCAGCAAACTTCATTAAACCTTATCTTAACCCTTTCCCGGACTATAGGCTGATATATCCGCTATCATTTTGTGCATAGCGGACGGTAGGTGGATATATCCGCCGATTATTACGACATCTATTGTCATATTTGATTATATATAACAACATTAATATTTGTAAAAACGGTCTTTTATTCAATTATATCTTTAAACGATGTACTACCTAGGAATGTTTTTTTTCTGGAAGAATAAAAAAATTAACAAACAATTTAAAAAAAAGTAAAAAAAATATTTTGGACAAAAGGGCTGTTTAGATCAACTATTTACAACATTCTATGAATTACATATGTAAAAAAAAATAATTTTTATTTTTTTTATTTTTTATTCATTTTGCTGTCTTTTTACATATTATAGGTCGTCCGGGAAGGGTTAATAAAATATGGAATAATTTTGATGTGTTTACTTATAGTAATATTTTAGTAAAAATACAATCAGACAAATGGAAATTCTTTCTGCAGGTTTGCTGCGGCTGGGGTATTTAATGTTTGGAGTAGTGTGAAAGTTTAACTAAGCCATTGCCTACCAGACTAGTGTTGATTGGAAGAAAGTGGAGATTAGCTTGTCTGGCCAGTCGCAATACCTCTCTAGCACCTAGCCAAACAAGAAGGTTCTTCCTCTGTCGTTGAGAAGACTGAGACAACTTTTCTGTATCCACCTCGGTGACTACTAGAGACCAGTTGTACCACAACGCCTCTGTAGTCAGGGGTACCACCATAACAGACACTTGGCTAGGTTGGCACACCTTCCTGGGGCCAACTACCAAATATTCTGGGATAGCCTTCTGCAAAACACAAGATATAGTCAATAAATAATTAAAGAGAATGTGGTGAGTCGCTGGATCAGTTGCATTACGACAGGCTGTAAAAAGAAGTGATATTTAGGGGTTATGTCTTGGGTCCTGGTACAGGCTCACCCCTTGCTTCGCTCGATTGGTATGTCCCAAGCACAGGCTTGATGCCCTGTGCATTCCAATGTTTTCAACAAAAAATTGCAATGAAAAGTTTGAAAACGTCATTTTTTCTTAATTTAATACAAAATAACAGAAATTTCTTGATAACAGGAAAATCTTTCACACCAATGGAACAACGATTTGTTATAGCTGATATAATTAGTGTTTCTATTAAACTTTATTAATTTTTTTTATCATCATTTATTACTTAACCTTTAATATTAACTCTGCTACTAGTGATTTTTTGTATTGTTGCTGCACAAAACAGCTGTATCAAACTGCACCAGATCAATTCATCAGTAAGTCCAGCGCACACGGTGTGACTGTTTTACAACTTTCATTGCAAACTAGTTGCGCGCGCAACTGTTTTGTGACCTCGGCAATGTATTGCAGTGGGGAGGCGCACACGACCCAACTGGTTGTTGGCGACGTCAAAAAACACTAGAAAACCTGTCACATACAACAGTGGGCCCGCGGTTGCAGTTGCGTTGCAGACTTCAGTTGCACGAGACCACGTTTTTGTGGTGTTTTGGTGGTATTTGGTCTTTAACGTGTCTTGTCATTCTGTAAAAAGGTTTAAATTTCCTATCCGACTGTGACAGCTCTCTAGCTGCTACAAACAACCTAGAACTAACATTCTTGCTCAAATAAGGGTGAACCCAATGCTCTCTCTGTACCCTTCGCTGTCTTCGGTATTGATAATAGCTAATAACATCTTCTTCATCTGAGTCTGACATTGTAAGCGCACTTAAGGCCTTAAAAACAACTTAACTGCACTTTAAATTAACACTCCACTGATTGCACGTAACTGTAGTTGTAAAACAGTCAAACCGTGTGGGGACAGAAGCTTTTGTTTCAGTTGCAAACTGATTTCAGACGCAACTGGTTTGCAACAGTTGTTGAAAACAGCCACATCGTGTGCGCTGGGCCTAACACATACAATGTAATTTGTGAATTTTAAAAACCAAGGTCAAACCATGACTTTATATTCAACCGTTAATTAAACCTCCCGTTAATATTTTCAACGCCTTCGTTTTACACTTAACCTAAATTTACCTGAGTGATTCGGATATGTACAGACTCTTGTGATAGAGGAGTAGGAGAATTAGACCCGGACCCAGCTAGTTTCAAACTCGTTGTGGAGCCATTAACCAGAGTGAGTTGCAAAATATCACCTGGTCGGAAGGTAGCTCCGTCACCCAAATTCACTACGAGTGTATTTCCTCTGTATCCACATTTAATACCTGTTATAAAAAAATAGATATTTTGATAAATTTGTTGATTGGTACATCATATTTTACCAAATAAACCTTAATATATTTCTCTTGGTCATAAAATTAATACATTTTACATACTTATAATTTTCTTCCCCTATACATAGTATATGGAAAAAGTATGTTTTTGTCAAAGTTTTCAAATTTGAGTTTTGGGTGGAAACGTTTGTTTAAGTCCCCCTGAACCCATAATAGTGGTTTTCGAAGAGACTAGCAAAGAAAAGTCAGAGAAGAAAATAAATACATTAAATACAGTACTACAGAAAAATCAAGTCAATTAAATAAAATTCATAAAACTTTATTCATTTAAGTACGTGGGTGTTAAACTCATAGGTCTCCCCGTTTGGTCACATATTAACTGGTACTAAAAGTTTACAAATATATAATTTGTATTTCATTTATATGTTATTTTGGTATAACTTATAATCTTTATGACATTTCATGACCATCCAACCGTTAAAACCCACTCTCCTCTTTTGGTAGTTTTGGTGTGTGCCTCCCCGTTTCCAACGTCCTACAGGTATAGGTGTGTGTGTGTGTGTGTGTGTGTGTTTGTGTATGGGTGTGGATATGTAGAAAGAAAGCTACACAATACACCTGTGATCTGATTTTGATGAAATTTGGTAGTAAACCAAATTTATTGTACACTACTATTGCAACAATATCCTACAAATATTAAATTAAATTATAAGATAAAGTAGGTACAGATTGTATTGAACTATTACAAACTCAAAACTCTAAACAACTAATACAACTGTAATAAATTGAATTGTTGTAAATTTATGAAAAATGCTACATTAATCGGTGCTACAGCCAACTAGAGCATTAAGTCCCGTCAAATCCATCCATCATTGGGGATTTCCATGACTTTCAATGACCAGAATTTTTTCCATGACTTTCCCTGACTTTGCAGAATGTGGACACCCTGTCAGTCATGTTCATTGATGTATAATACTCTACTGGTTTGCGCGCTCAGGTTTGTGCCGTGTGTACGTGCTCAACGCTCAAGGGCACAGCTTTAGTTGTTGCGCGGTTGGCAGACTGCCGCCACTACCCTATGTTTCGTCTGGTAACTTGTGTGTCACCCGTATTCTCAAAGTTTCTCGGTTCTAAAAGTTTTCTACTTCCGGCGAAACCTTCTCATGAGGAAGGTTCGCCTTCGTTTAAGGCCCTTTCACCTTCACCCCCGATATGTTGTGCGTTGTGTGCTAGAAGAGTTTCATCCACGGGTTCGGCGACTCCATCTGAGGCCTGGCTTCATGAGATCATTACCCTTCACCATAATCTCCTAGACTGGGACTGCTCTCTTACTGACTACCTGTCACCACCCACCGATGGCGATGGGCCTACCGTCCACTCCGGCCTAACTACGTTGGGACGCGTACTTTCTGCACTGGAAAAATAATATTAAAAGTGCAGTCGTCGCAACCGTTTGCCGGGGATAGCTCAGCCTACAATGGCTGGGTATTGTTCCAGGGTCTGCGATAAGGTCAGGGAAACCACTAGGCCAATAGCCGGGTCTAACCGGTATAGGACTGGCTCATACACGGGCACTGTGAACAAGTCAAAAACAAGTCACCACAACAAACGTGCAATAATCACTACCAGGCCTACGCCGATTCTCCACTCTCCTAGGGGGTCGTTGCTGACTACGCAACTCGGGCTTCGTCCTAACTATCCAATAGTTAAGCCCAGAGTGCCTAAAACACGGTGAGTTACACGACGACTTGCCAATAAAAACCACAACGCGTGTTATCACCAGGCGGGGTCCACTAGGCTACTATAATCCAATACACAACTCTAATGCCCAAGCTAAGAATCAAACAGTTCACTCAATAATCGTACCACATAATAATATACAAGTACACTATAGGTAGAGTGACTACACCACTAGTAGCTGGTCTCAATAAATACCAAGCCAAACAAGCAAAACTAAATGGCAATTGCACTATTAAAATATTGAGCTACTTAGTAGCAGATAAATAAATATTAAATACGTTCCAAACACTAGATAAATATATTATCTGATAGCCGGTACTCCGCTATCCAAGCTACCAAGATAACGTGTTGGACTACTAAGCAAGCTGTTCAGGTTAAATTAAAATAATCAAATGAATAACCAATAACAACCCTACTACTGCTACTGCTACTACCAACTTTATGTTACTTAGCTGGGCTTCTGTTAATAGGCTAATAAAACTAGCTACTAGCCTGCTGGCCTCGTGCTTCCAACTACGCACGCTAAATCGTGCAGCCTAGGTTTGTCGGGCCTCAGAGTTATTAGTAATATAACTAACTCTAGGTACAACGCAAAATAATATCTACTACAGTCAATTAAATTATATTATTTGCGCTCTAGCACCTGCCCAGAACCGTCAGGAATATACTTTAATATTATTCCTGACTAATAAATCCTAACTACCGTCAGGCTTCGACCAGCACGGTTACCACTCTAACTCTCTAACTCTCTTAAACCAAAATATAATAACACGTCGTCCACTCACCCCAAGTGGGTCACTGTTTCACTACCCAACTTGAATGCCGACACTCACTCCTTGAGCACCAACCTCACACGACACCGATGTCACCACAGCACTCCTCTCTACGTACACCACTGGACGTCTCACTAGACACACGCTATCCTCACTCACTGGGATCCACGACTCGAATGTCCTTCTCCTATACTGTCCTGAAGATCTAGGATATCCCAGGCTTATCGGAACTGATAAGCCGGGTCAAAGGGCGCTAGGTAGCTTCGCCGCCGCCGCCTGCCTACCTCAACAACCGGTGCGCGGCCAAATAGCGAAAATTTACCCCCCTAGGAAAAATAACTCGTTACATCCCCCACTTACATCGGGATGAAAAAAAAGAAAACGGCCAAAAAGAAAAAAAATATTCGAACTCCGGCCAAAACAAAATACTCCAACCCCTAACCCAATGGTGAATCCTACACCACAGGTCTCAAACTTAAAACAAAGAAAAACTCTTCTAATTGCCACTACCAGCCAACATGGTACTGAAAGATTTGGCATCAGGAACCAGACGGGGATTTCCATTGCAAGGGCCTTCGGGGTCTTCGTCACCAATTTTGACACTGTCCATGCGGCCCCCTTGGCCAGAACAGTCATCACCCACGCCCATTGTTATCACCTCCGTCACGACCGTCACAAGTCCGAGATCTCGTATGGCATCCATACCCAAAATCAAATCCGTGGTAAGAGTGGGAACGTACAAGGTGTCTCCAACCCACCGTCTTCCCGCAGCTTCTCCTGCCAATCGGAATGAATACACGGCCCTAGACCGCGACCCATCTGCCATCCTCAGAGGAGAGGGTTTCTTAAAAGGTTCTACCCCCTGGCGTTGAAGATGATCGGCGACTTCGCGCCCAACCAGGTTAACTACGGACCCAGTGTCCAATAACGCCTTAAAAACGCTGCCCATCAGCACAACTTCAACAAAGGGCCTTGTCTCCGAAATCAGCCGGTTCTCGTCTACTCCACCAACCAGGCTGTTTAGTTTTCCGAGCCACTCGGACCACTCTTCTGAGGTCGTTCGTTTTGGGTGGCCTTGCCCAGTTGACCTCCTGATGTCTGAGCTGGCCTGCCGTTTCCCGCACGACATCCACACTGGTTCACAGTAAAACCAGGTTTCCCACATCCAAAACAGGAGACGGTCCTCAGTTTGCCACAGCCTCTGGCAAAGTGACCAATCTCCTGGCACCTAAAACAACGCACATCCTTTGCACCATCTGCAACTTCCCTAGTCATTACGGGCCTTTGTTCACGGACCCGGTTAGAGTCAAAATCTACTCGCCGCCCAATCGACTTAGCCTCAAGAGATGGTCTCTGAAAACTATGTTTTTCAACCGCGGCCGTTTCAAAACACTTCTCAGCCTTCTTCTTGGGAACATAGGCGGTTTCCAAAACCAGCGCTACGTTTGGTGAAGGAGGAGGTCGGAAGGCCGCCTTCTCTCGCAGATAGGCCTCATAGTCTTCAGCCAACTCAACCATCTCAGCCAGGTTGCTGAAGTCCCGCCGTCGCACCATGAGTTTGTACTCAGGTCGCATGTTGTTGTAGATCAAGTCCAACCTACTATGCTCCGACAACGTACCGCTACGCCTAAGCAAGGTACTTATGGCAACGACGTAGTCCCGGAAGTGCTCGCTTTCACCCTGTGTCCTTTTCCGGATCTCCTCATCCAAGTTCCTCCAATATCCTGGTGGGAAGAACTGGATTTCAAACTGATGCCGGAAAGCTTCGAATGAATACAGGAGCTCCTTGCAGTTCCTGTACCAAAGAAGTGCTGAACCTTGCAGCAGCTCCGGTAACGCTCTGAGCAGGTCCTCTGATGATATAGAGTAGGACACCATTAGCTCTTCTAGGCGCTCTAAGAATGACACAGGGTCTCGTCGGCCATCAAACCTTAAACCCCACTTTCGGACCATGTCGCATATCTTGGAGCAATCCTTCGGCTCCACCCTGCTGGCCTCATTCGAGAGCATATACGATCCACGTGGTACCTCCACGTTAGAAGGACGAACTGGTCTCTCCAAACTATCATTGGGCCGCTGCCATCCCTCGGGTCTACTTGGTAACCCAAAGGTAGGCATTGGAGCAGCCACAAAAGGGGACGTAGGGTTGGCGGGTCTTTCGAACCCATAGCCGACCCCATTACTCGGCGAGCCCCTCGCCTGTCGCACCACCAATGCAAGTTGTTCTCTAAGAGTCCGGGTATCGGTCCCTAAAGACAACCCAAGGATCTCTTTGATCGCCTCTGACTCCCCGCTAAGCCTGAATATCTCTGTTTGGTCCGATTCAGTACCAACCAGTACCTGAGGTACGGTTCTCGGGGGGTCAGAAAGTCCCATAGTGGTAATAGCCGGCGGTAAATATGTCGGTGCAGCAGCCCCAGCCATCGTACACAGCCTATCATCGCTGTACCGGCGGGCATTCCGCTGCTTCCAAAACGACGAGAATCTCTGCCGTAATTCCGCAGAAGTACCAGTGGTCACCAAACCATACTGGTCCATCGTCCTTATGAGCTCCCCTTTCGAGAGGTCATATATCCAACCCACGCGACCGTCCCGGGGCTGCGACCCCAAGGACATAGTCGCTGGCGCGGAATAAGTCAGAGACGTTGTCACCGTCGTACCCACGAAAGATGAAATAGTCGGCCAAACAGGCGAAGACGCAGGCCACAATGACGACGTCGTCATCACCGACAGTTCGGAGCTAACCCCAGAACTAGTTGTAACAATAGCAGACGTAATAGGCGTACCGCCCAGCACAGACGTCGTACTCGTAGTGACAACCATATTTAAAATCCAAATACCACGACTAATCCGCAAAAATAAGAGCGAAACCAATTAAAATATATTTAACACCGTTATAATAAATCAAACCAATTATAGGTGTGAAAGTCAAACCACAAATACACAATAAGGGTTCTCACTCAAATAATATTCAATGATAAGGCTCAATTAATTAGCAAAATTAAAATTACTAACTAATATCTATGTATACAACCACTAAATAAATTAGGGTTCACAACACACCACGCTGTAACAGAAAACAGGTTAGGCCTACCCAACCGACTATAAAATCACAGCAGGTCTGCCTAAAACTCTGCTCAACAGCTCAGGTCCGCAGCCAATCTGCACAAGTCCGCAGCAAATCTGCACAAATAAAATGATTTTGTTCGGGCGCCGTTAATACGTCAGCAACTCAGCACCACTGCCAACCTCAGTCCCTGTTCGGGCGCCATCTTGGGACGCGTACTTTCTGCACTGGAAAAATAATATTAAAAGTGCAGTCGTCGCAACCGTTTGCCGGGGATAGCTCAGCCTACAATGGCTGGGTATTGTTCCAGGGTCTGCGATAAGGTCAGGGAAACCACTAGGCCAATAGCCGGGTCTAACCGGTATAGGACTGGCTCATACACGGGCACTGTGAACAAGTCAAAAACAAGTCACCACAACAAACGTGCAATAATCACTACCAGGCCTACGCCGATTCTCCACTCTCCTAGGGGGTCGTTGCTGACTACGCAACTCGGGCTTCGTCCTAACTATCCAATAGTTAAGCCCAGAGTGCCTAAAACACGGTGAGTTACACGACGACTTGCCAATAAAAACCACAACGCGTGTTATCACCAGGCGGGGTCCCACTAGGCTACTATAATCCAATACACAACTCTAATGCCCAAGCTAAGAATCAAACAGTTCACTCAATAATCGTACCACATAATAATATACAAGTACACTATAGGTAGAGTGACTACACCACTAGTAGCTGGTCTCAATAAATACCAAGCCAAACAAGCAAAACTAAATGGCAATTGCACTATTAAAATATTGAGCTACTTAGTAGCAGATAAATAAATATTAAATACGTTCCAAACACTAGATAAATATATTATCTGATAGCCGGTACTCCGCTATCCAAGCTACCAAGATAACGTGTTGGACTACTAAGCAAGCTGTTCAGGTTAAATTAAAATAATCAAATGAATAACCAATAACAACCCTACTACTGCTACTGCTACTACCAACTTTATGTTACTTAGCTGGGCTTCTGTTAATAGGCTAATAAAACTAGCTACTAGCCTGCTGGCCTCGTGCTTCCAACTACGCACGCTAAATCGTGCAGCCTAGGTTTGTCGGGCCTCAGAGTTATTAGTAATATAACTAACTCTAGGTACAACGCAAAATAATATCTACTACAGTCAATTAAATTATATTATTTGCGCTCTAGCACCTGCCCAGAACCGTCAGGAATATACTTTAATATTATTCCTGACTAATAAATCCTAACTACCGTCAGGCTTCGACCAGCACGGTTACCACTCTAACTCTCTAACTCTCTTAAACCAAAATATAATAACACGTCGTCCACTCACCCCAAGTGGGTCACTGTTTCACTACCCAACTTGAATGCCGACACTCACTCCTTGAGCACCAACCTCACACGACACCGATGTCACCACAGCACTCCTCTCTACGTACACCACTGGACGTCTCACTAGACACACGCTATCCTCACTCACTGGGATCCACGACTCGAATGTCCTTCTCCTATACTGTCCTGAAGATCTAGGATATCCCAGGCTTATCGGAACTGATAAGCCGGGTCAAAGGGCGCTAGGTAGCTTCGCCGCCGCCGCCTGCCTACCTCAACAACCGGTGCGCGGCCAAATAGCGAAAATTTACCCCCCTAGGAAAAATAACTCGTTACATCGTGCTGCAGTTTCTGGGTGGCGGCTATCATTCACTCGGCCCAACACCTACTTCCAGCTGCCTGGACTTCAGCAAGGTTATATATAACGGTCAGGTCAGTCCAGTCCATTTGGAGGATTTCACCGATCGACTTCAATTATAAAGAAATTTTAGTTAACACCAACGCTTTAAAAAGGAACAAGAAAAACCCTGTAATCTTTATACTTTAAATTTAATTAATTAGGCTTACACATTCAAATTTAACTTCCAATTTTTATTTAAATAATTTTATATCTGGTTTTAAATGTTTTATATTTTTCTCAATTCCATTTCATTCCATTTTAACTCTGCGTAACACCCCTTGAGTGAGGGTATTTTTTTAATTTTTGGCCGGTTTTGATAAACCGCTTAGTGCAAGTTATATACGAGGCGACCACATTTGTCTTATAAACTGTGATATTTGTAATTTCTGTGTTTGTAAACGTATTTTATTTATTTTAATGTAGCATATGTAGGCTACCGTTATTATCCAAAAGGACTTTATTTTTTATTTGACCTAACCTAACTATCGTAAATTTGAATTTTGTCACTTAAACTTTTGTTTTGTAGGCCTACCTCAATAGTATTTACAGTGGAGTCCCGATAATCCGAACTTTGGTAATCCAAAAGTCCGCTTAATCCGAAACAAAAAAATATATTTTTTTATATTTTTTATTTAAAAAAATTAGTTTTAAATTTTTTTTGAAAATTTTTTGAAATTTTTTTTATTAAACTTTTTACACAGTTAGCTGTACCTTGTCAAAGTATTCTGTAGCGGCCGGGCGAGATAGACTTTTTTTGTTGAGTTAGTAAATATTTCGCCATTTTTGTTTTTAACATTTTTCATTTTCGTCCGCCAAATCACAAATGGATTTTATTAAGTGATAATGCTGCAGCCACTAGGTGTCTAGCCTTAAAGTAATCTGAAAAACAATCCCGGGCTCGTGCCTGCGTCCTAAGACAAAAAAGTATTTTTTTTAGTAAAAAAAAAAAAAATAACAATAAAAACGTTTAATCCGAAATATTTGGTAATCCGAAATTGGCCCGGTCCCAACCATTTCGGACTAACGAGACTCTACTGTACTATTTAGGCCTGATTAAAAATGAAATCTTTTATATTTTTAATTAAGTTTTATATACTTTTGAAGCCTTTTAAAAATCAGGTTATTTTTTAGGCTAGGGCATAGCCTTGTAATATTAAAAGAGAATGCTTGTTATACTCATACTGTTATATAAATGTCTTTATTTTTCTTAATAAATTTATATTTTGTGTCCATCCAGTTCTTGTCTTCTTATTGTTTGGTTCTCCACCTCAGCAATATTGTGCTGGAATCCCACCATTGATTTTGCGCTTCCAAGTGCCCCCCCCCCTTCACCCTTTTGATCAATGGAGTTGGGACTTCGGTTACAGGTTGAAGTACAGCGCTAAAAACAAGCCGTCGCTACCTCGCTCTGTCCACCAGGAGTGGGGATCAAGGCATTACTCACTCTAGTGCCGAGCGTTGCGCCAGTTCCCGTATCACTATGTTTTGTAAAAATGTTGAAATATATTTTAACATGTTTAGCCTCTGGATCATATATTTTACTAATAAAAGGTTAAATATCTGTAGTACTGTCAGTGATCCTGGTTAGTTATCATTATATGCAAAAACCATGATTTTCCTTTTCCTTTCTAATATTAAATCAGAGTCAAATCAAAGAATTATCACTGTACATACCAGTTCCTAGTAGTTGGAGAGAGTTGGTCCTGAACACTCCGGAACAATCAGCTGGACCTTCAATGTTCTGATTGAACTTTATCAGCACTTGGTTTAGATCCTAAAAAAAATATATTTCAGTAAAACGGTAAGCTTTAATTTCAATTTTCCTTAAGACTCATTGCTGAACATAGTCTCCAAAATAAAATCAAATAATCAGACTCTAAATTTCACATTCAAAACCAAATGCAAACCATTAAAATTATTAATCCTAAACTATTGTTTTATACAGATTCAATCAGCTTAATGGCAAATTTACATAGGTCAAAGCCAATGGATACTTGTTTGTGAATAGCAGTTTTTTATAACAAGACTGATGTTCCTGAATGATTTCTAATATTTTTTATCATATAATATTATTTCAGAAAAATTTATATTCTCAGGGTTGCCCAGAGGGGGGGGGGGGGTACAGTGACGCGCTTGCGCCACTGGAGTTTTTTATTTTTTATGGGGGATTATTAAGGGGATTTTGGGGGGGATATTTTTCTGCTAGCTGTCATAATGGATGTATGCTTTTGTATAAGCAGTACAAAAAAGTGTTTCCAAGTAGTTAACTATAAACACCATCAACATTTTGCTATTCGTAATTAAGATATATTACTTCTAAAAATGGCAAAAACGCACCTTGTCAGACAATCCTTAACATGTACGGTAGTGTCAAATTTTATTTGCTACATATGTTTTGGCGGTTCTTTAACTCCACCATCATCAGGCTTACAAAATGATCTAGGTACTTCTGGAGGTGTCGTCAGAATATGTTACAAACATTTAACACAAAACACTAAATGATTACAGATCAATTCACGTGTGTACATTTGCCACGGGCAAGACTGGAAGTAAACTGAATCAGGGTATGATGGACCGACGTGGTCTCTGGATTGTTGTCTGCGTCATCAACAGCTGATATTGGACTATTGTATTGAACTCCTCCTAGTCTGCCCTATTTCGTGACTCTGCTTTCAACATTAATATGTCTAATTTTGAAACAAGATACTTTTTGCCAAAGTATTATGTAGTTGTTTGAATTCTTAAGCCCTGTAAAAATTTACGCCACCTTATATATTGTATGGTACTGTGTTAGAGTAGATTAATTCACCGAGTATATTGTTGAACGTTTTGAAGATGTTGTCTATCGAAATACTGAGAACATGATGGCTTACAGATTCTGAATTGTAAATTGAAAAAGTTCCAAATCCTTCATTAGTTAGATATAATTTTGTATTGTTAAATGACGTTTCCTATTAAACATTTCATTTTGATTGTCTGTCAGCAAGTTTGTGTTTCTTTAACCTCATTAGTTTACTAAATACTTGAAATGTGGTAAGGTGAAATTGCCAAGTAAATTGGCGGGGTGAGGTTTAATTTATATAGAGGGCAGCATAAAATGGGGGGAACTGCTCCTCTAGCTTGGCAGGGGGGGGGAATCACGCCTCTGGTTTTTGGGGGGGATGGGCTCCTCTGTATATTCTATTCTTATTTCCTCCATATACTATCTTAAAATGATTACCAGAATTAATTGAGAGGCAAGATAATTTCTACATAATTTTTTACAGACAATACATTTTATATTATTTATATTTTATATATTAAAGAAAGTGTGTAATTTTATTTTACCTCAGAATAGTCGGCTTGAAGTGGTGTCAGGGGAGTTGACACCAGCTCTAGTGTTATTGTATTGTTAGTAGACCTGACGAAATAACAAAATATTATCATTAGTTCTCATATAAAAATTGTATACTATTTGTGTATTATTTTAATAAATTGGTTTACCTTATGGTTGCCAGATTCTTGAAAATTGTGGATATCTTGCTCTTTGATCATTTCGCTACAGGTGTGGCATCTTCAGGAGCACAGTTTATATTACATAACACAAGCACTATTTACAACATTTACATTTTCGGTCGGATGACTGTTCACGGTACCGTAGCAACCCAAGCGCACGAGCGCGTATAATAAAATGGGAAAGCTTATAAAATGGCGCAGTTTTTAACATATTCCGACACTTTCCTGTATACAGGGTGTGAACAAATGCAATTGACCAATGTTTTTTGAATTTTTACCAAACATCTTAATTTTTATCTTTGAATCTATTTACGATGGAGTTTTTACAACTGATCCTCTGTCATTTTGTATTATTCTTATTCAAAATTTAATGTAGAACACGAAAATGACATTGTCTACTCAAATCCATTTACAGGTAATTGAGAAATAGCTGTATTAAGTTTAAAAACATAGTTATTTTTGAAAAACATAAAATAATTCTTTGGGAAGCTAATTTTTAGACTTGGGACATTTTATATGCATCATCATACTGCATTTACTTTGTACTTACACCAACAATTTTTTTTCACACTGAGTACCAAACACCCTGTATATTATTAAGTATAATATATATTATACTAATAATAGAGTAATGCAAATACTTTACATTTTGTTAAAATAAGTCTCAATATTCCTGGTAAATGAAACTCCGAGGAACAGCTGAGAGTCTGGGAACTGAAAGACAGTCACATCGCAGACCACCGAGGAAGATATGGGGTTGCCTGCTATCTGGTTGGTTGGTTGAATCATCAGCATCGTGCGATTTCGATTGGTTACGAAGCAGAAAAGATCCATAGGAGCAGGGATTCCATGAACCATAAGCGTGAGCTGAAATAACATGTTGCTCAAAATACAAAAATACTTAACTAGCTATAAAAGAGGATGTAAAGTAAAATGTGAGAGAAAATTGATTTTCACGTTAAATATTCCCTTTCAGGAAACATACAGTTAAAGTAATATTTTGTAAAATTAGGTACAATTTGGGTAGGCCTACTGTACAGTTAAAATTCTTATACTAGAAGCAATTAAAATAAGGATGAAATTTAATACAAATCTGTAAGCCTACGTTTATTAGAAAGAGTTCAGGAATCAACGTGATTGGATTGGACTATGGAAACAGGGTTTTATGGGGTTAAATTAAATTTTATCATTTTCAAAAGGCAAAGGTTAAAAAAATAAATTTAGTGTTTTAAGTGTTCCTGTACAACTGTTGTTTACGGAGAATATTCACAAAATTGCAAATTTAAAATTCCCATGTTATCCTATGGAGAATAAGAAAATGTTGTAGTTTACTTATTTATGGATGTATTTTGATAAAACTTGTCAAATTTATTAATTATTTATTAAAAACCCCACTTTATTACCTTCCTTAGAGCAGCAAGCCACAGTACTCCTTAAACCTAATGTTAAATAGGGAGTAAATCTGACAAAGGAAATATGAGCAATTGCAGGAGAATGAAAATTTGCATAGTATACAGGTTTGCTGTGGTATTTTTTATCATAACAACATGGAAAATGTTATTTTAACTACTGAGATCGATGTAATTACCTTGGTATACTGCCCAAGAGAGATTTTGTTTGGGGATACAGAGGATACAGTAAGTCGCAGACTGTTGACCACCATGAGGGTGTGTTGGGGCAGAGTCCAGCCCTCACAGTTCAGCTTGGATTCTACTTCTGGAGTAAAACTCTGTAGAGGAACTGACAATGTCACTTGGTTATCATCCATTGCTGTCACTGTGGCATCCTGAGGAACAAAGGGTATCATGGTACTTTTATACATTCAGACTTCAAATCCATGATTGATTGACATAGCCAAAATCAGGGTTACAGTAACGGGTTTACAAAAAACTAGATTTTTGCAATTAAAATAAACGGTATCAGAAATCTAACACATACTTTCTCCCATTAGTTTTTCAACAACCTTTTTCAGTGGTAAGCGGTTGGAGTAACTATATGATAATTTATGGGGAAAATCATAATACCTTAAGAGTTTTGAACCGTAATTTTTAACAGCAATGGGGGGTTGTACCATTTTGTTTAGGATCATAAGGAGCATAACAATATAAATTTTAATTAAAATCGGTAGAGCTTGTTTAATAGAAAATCACATTTCCCTTTCAATCACATACAATAACTTTTTAACCGTAATTTTACAGCGATAAAGGTTATACAGTTTTGTTCAAAGTTAAAAGGATTAGCATACTAAATTTTAATCAAAATTGTTCAGACCTTTTTTGAGTTCAGGGGACCTAAAACGATCCACCCAAAACTAAACTTTAAAATGTTGACAATATCAATACTTCTCCATACACTATAGTATAGGGAGAGAAAGTTAAACGCGTGTGGTTTGGATAACATGCACAAATAAATATATCAATAAAACAAGAGCAAACAGTAGTAACAAGCTGTTGTTTGCAATTCTTTCAAAAACTACAACAAAAGAACGGACTTAGACTCAATCCTGACAAAACAAAGCCAATCATCATAGGTCACTCACGGTTACTCAACAAAGTGAACTTAGACATTTTACAAAAAATCACTGTAAACAGAACCACTTTGCAATACCAGGACAAAGTTAAAAGTCTTGGTTTGACTCTAAACCGCACATTGGACTGGACTGACGCGGTGGTAAGCACTTGTAAATGAGTGTTTGCCGCTGTTCACACACTGAAGAAGATGCAACGACTTCTACCTTTTCACATTAAACTCTTACTAGTCAAATCACTCGTGTTTCCACACTTCAACTACTGCAACACCGTGGTTAATGATATGACTGTGGCTTTGGCAACAAAATTGCAACGTGTACAAAATTATTGTGTTCGATTCTTGTTCAATCTTAGGCGTGATGACCATGTCACACCCTATTACATTAATTAATCAATTTTGAAATTAGAGGACGTCAGAAAAATACGAATACTTTCCATTACTCATTCGGCCATCAATCTTGGAATTCCAAATTATCTTGCAAATAATTTTAAATTTTTGAATGGAAGAGGCGCAAGGGATACCCGCTCTGGCTCGTCCACGCTTCGCATTCCTCATCATAGAACAACTGTTTATAATAAATCATTTTTAGTAACAGCCTGCCGCCTATGGAACTCCATACCTATGCCCATCAAGTCTATAGAAAACCGATCCCGAATGATGGTGGCGCTGAAAGAATATTACCTTGACCGGATGGCCATGGCTTGGCGGGATGGCGTGCGTTAAGCCTAGATGCAGCAGAGGGTGTATGTGTGTGAGACTGTATGTTAGGGAAGGTGAATAGATTTATGCTATTTTATTACTAGCTATGTTACAAACTTTATTGTATTTTTTGTTATTATTTTGTTGTTATTATTAGTTTTTTAGAGGTTAACTGTAAGAAAGGACCATGTGGTCCTAAGTTCGCCTCAATAAAGAAGCATTTTCATTCATTTTCATTCATTCATTCATTCTTTCATTCATTCATTCATTCAAACAAAAATTGAATACCCTGTAGGAAATGAGCCAACATGGACTTAAATGGACTGCACAAGGAAAAAAACTGATTGTAACATTCTCATACTCAGCAAAAAATATTGTAAAAAAAACAGCATTTTTCTAAACTACTTACAGTTGATGCATTGTTTTGTTCAACAACACATTTCAGATTCTGGTCACCTTCCTCAAAAGACTTTGACAGTTCTAACTTCAGTTGTACTGGAGAATTCAATGCTTGGTCTAATACTAATGGTCTAATGGATATTACTGCTGAGCAATCTGAAACAAGAATTGCAAACTAGTTTTTGAACATTATTTTTAACATTGAAATTTACTTGGGAATTATCTGAAACTGCGGTTCACTTCCTTGACGTCATGGTGGAACTGAAAAATGGCTCAATCTCCACATCTGTTTACACCAAACCCACCAACCACCAACAGTACCTACACTACAACAGCTGCCATCCCAACAACACCAAACGCTCCCTACCCTACAGTCTTGCCTTAAGAGGGAAACGAATAAACTCCGACAAGAAGAATCTGATAACTTACAACAAACAACTCCAAACTGCTTTTGAAAATAGAGGATACCCGACACAAACAGTTTCTTCGCAAATAAAAGCGGCCCAAAATGCTACTGACAATCCACCTAAGAAAACCAAAACCACCTACGATGTCAACCTGGTGACTACTTACCACCCAGGTCTCAACAGGCTCAATAACCTTTTGAGAACCGGCTACAACATGCTTCGAAGCTCCACCCAGACCAAAGATCTCTTCCAAAAACCCCCCACCATAGTCTACAGACAACCTGCCAATCTAAAAACCATCCTAGTCCATCCCAAGTTACCCGACCCGTCCGTTGAACCACCTCCAAGACTGCCCCCAGGTTCCTACCCATGCAATGAAACCAAATGCAAGACCTGTGGCATCAACATTCCTGCAGAAACCTTCACCAGCACATCGTACAACAAAGAGTACAAAATAAAAGACCACATAACATACAATAGCGAAAACCTGATCTACCAACTACAATGCAAACTCTGTCAAGCTCAATATATAGGCCTAACCACCCAAACTCTTAGGAAAAGGATGAATGGACATAGACAGGATGTTAAAACAAACAAATACAAACCCATTGCAATACATGCAGCAAACCACAACTTAGACTTTGATACATGTTTCACCACAAAAGCCATAAAATCCCTCCCCAAAGATCAATGTAACAGCTCTCTACTCAGAAGGTGGGAACTAGCCTACCAATACATCACTGATTCCAGAAACCCTCCTAACCTTAACATCAGATAATTCACCCAACCCTTCCCTCAGCTAGCTTCATTTTTATAAAAATCAACCACCATATGTATATATAGAAGTGTATGTGTATATAGATGTACATAACAACAGGAATTTTCATTTAAGTTTAAACAACAGTTGGCAACACTATTGTGGAACTTTTGAATTTGAAGTGGAACTTTTGAATTTGAACTGTAACTGCCAGTTTTCTTTCTTCTCTTCTCCCTTCTGATGAAGTCCCTAACTGGGACGAAATATTAAGTTTTTCTGTGTTGTGTCATGTGTTTTTTATGTGTAATCAAGGCTAATCTGGACTCTATCTACCAGGTAAGCTAGCTGATCCCTATCCTTGTACATAATAATCCTAATCAGCCAATTGGCCTTTCCTTAACTCCTAGTATAGAGTTTAGTAATTTAAGGTCATGAAGCCGGCCAGCAATAGACTCGGACTGCTTGCTTTGACTGAAGGTATGTAACCTTGATTATTTAAGTCTCCAGGTGAGTTTCTTGACAAGTTATCATGTTTCTGCAGTCATGCGTCCGATCGGGTACAGGAGTGCTCTTTTTTACCACTCGGCAACCCTTCGTACTAATTAGTTTGGTTTGTGTGGCACATTTAGGTGAAGGTGTCTACAAATATGCTGTGGTTTTTTCCAGATTAGCGTGGAGGTTTCGTGCTGTTAATTATAGTTGTCTTTAGTTTTAGTTTTATTGTTTTTGTAAAATGTTGTATATTGTTTTTAGGTTATGTGATACATAAAATGAAATAAATGTGGAAAAGGAAAAACAAATCGGTAGGCTGGTTGGATATGTAAATGCAATAGGCAAATGTAGATTTAGGTCCCTTGAAAACTGTAGGAGTTCCCTTGCCCTGAAACATAGTGTAGTCAAAACATATAGCGTAGGAAAAGTCTATTTGACCAAAAACTAAACAAAACATTACTGTTGATCGATACTAACTGTTCCAGGAGGGAAGATCAGGAAGAAGGCAGTTGCCACATGCATCGAGCTGATGTCCGTGGTTGTTAACATCACAGCTGACTACATCACAACGGTTGTTGCCACCACAAACGTTGCATTTGTCAACTCTAGTCCCTCCACACTCCCCACATCTGTAAACAAGTTGTTGTCAATTGACTCATTCACCATTTGCAAGATTCAAGAACAAGTCTTTGCACTCTAAAAAATCAATATTGCACTTTTATGTTGTTGTTGTTTGTTATATTGCATGTCCCTCACTGATTCTTATATCTAAAAAATGGCAAAGTATGAACTTAATACTTATACAGAGAAGTAATTAAGAGGTGTAGCACTTATGCTGGTGTGCTCTTGATAGCGTGTTCGTTGATCGAGCACTTCCTTACCTGTCACAAATGTATTTCTGGTACAACATACCAGACCTGAAAGCGTGCGGTTATCCCATAAGCATGTTTTCTCTGTACCTTACTTCTCTGTTGCACTACAGCACTAGGTGTCCAATACAAAGGCATTTTAAGAATAGCTTTTAAGGAAACTAAAAAAGGTAAAATAAAATTCCCATCTTTGACAATAAATATCTTAAACATGAAATATAATTGTCTTGTTTTTTACAGTCAATTCACTTGAATGCAAAATCTACCAGAAACATTTGAGTAAAATATTGTGGTACTCACACATCAAAGACTTCACATTGCAGGTTTGCGAGATGAGATTTATATTTGGACATAAAGTGTTCTTTGAAAACACTTCCAACTATTATACTGTCAGTATATTGTCTAAACTTCAAATCATTTCTCTGGGAAAATTCATCCCCAGACTTTTCATCTTGATATTTTTCACTGTAAGTTCCATCCTGAAAACATGTTGCATACAGGTTTATGCTAAACATACTCCCTTACAGAACAAAAATTCTTGAAATGTATATACCTTCAAAAAGTGTTGATGAAAAATGAAAGTAATATTTAAAATAATTCAATAAATACCGTACTTAATAAACTTATCCTTAGATCCTTTAGATGATTAAACATATTTATATCTTTTCCTACAGTTACCTAACAATGTACATGTTCTCTCACTGATTTGAGAAAGCAAAGTGGCCAATTCGCTCATCAGTGAGACAATGTTAACATTGTCTCACTCTAATTACTTTGTCTCACTCCAGATTTGCAACGTGAAGGCACGAAATAGTAAGCGCGTAACATGCAGGCAACGTCGTATGCGCGCGAAATACGTTGGCAGCACTGGCTGTAAATCAGCTGGTCAGCTGTTGTACTGTTGTATTTGTCACTTCACATTAAATGTTATATTTAAAAGTTCACTTCTGTGTAAAAATAGGTTATGTTTCTTCACCAATTTATTTGTTTTATGGTAACTGTAGGAAAAGTATAATGTGCAACTCGAGTTCAAAGTACAATTGCCTCACTCGAGAAACCATTCCTCACTCGCCTACGGCTCGTGAGTAAGGATTTCTCTCGAGTGAGTCAATTGCTCACTTTTCTCACTAGTTGCACAAATAACTATAGTTTAAAATTAAGAACAAAGATTATAGGCTTAGTTGTCATCCTGTTATGTGAGTGTGTCCTGTTATGTTGAGTTCTTTAATGTTTTCTCCAACTTAAAAATTATTGATGTAATAAATCAATATACGTATTTATAAGCTTCATATTTATTGACCTTCATTAATAAATCGAAAGATGGATGAGTGCAGTGTAAAAGAGTCTTTTATTGTGGGTATCTATTTCTCCTGAACCCAAGGACTAATTTTCGTAAGTAAGCTAGTTAAACTCAATCCTTTTCAATGTTCAAGTTCCTAGTGATAAATTAAGTGTCATTTTGTTAAAGATAGGTCAACATGTTTGGTGCTTTGAAAAATAAATTATTTATGTTATACTTTATTTTGAACGAATATGAACAGTTATATTTTCTAATCGTTCAAAGTATTTTCACTCACTTGAGTTTATTTAATATCTGGGATGTCTCTGGCAAAGTGCTTTGGCTAATCTAAATCAAACAAATGCTTAAACTTACAAGAAATGAAGCATGTACAAGGCCCATAAGGAATATCAAACATATTGAAGAAAACTGTATCATCCTGAAGTTTGTCATAATAAGAAGCTGCCATTGAACCTAGAAAAAGAAAATGTATGTACAGATACATATTTCTACATCCCATCATGCTATTTCAAGATTTTTTTAACTAAAAAAAATACCCTACAGGTAACTTGGAGTTGTTTAGGGACATGGAATTAAACTTTGAATTCTTGTAAACTACAGTATATTGTATAACTACCAGCAGATTGGAAATGGGATTGTAAATTCAAAGGTTTGAAGAACTCTATTAAATTTATTATCAAGTAAGTAACCTAACTGGAAAAGACATATTGAGATGTAGGGGTGCATAATCTATTTTTAGGGTTAGATTAAACAAATGTATTGCCATCTAATTCAGGTTGAAACTGATGTTTTTGAAAAAAAAATATGAAATAGCCTGATTTGCCTTGATTTTTATAAGATGGTTTGTAGAGAAACATACCGTTACCCGGGATTAGAGAAAGCTTCTTGTTTATCATAAATGAATACAGATTACATTAATTATTCTGTAATACTAAATGATAAAAATCTATCCAATTAGGCTCCTAAATATACTCCCTAGTCGAGTCAATATAGGCACTTGAGATAGAACAAATTCCAACAAATGGTTTTTCAACGGTTTTTGGTAGTAATAGGTGTAGAAAGTACCACGAAAAAAGTCTACCAAAATCGGACAACCGGAAGTCGGGTTTTTCCAAGATGGCCGCCGTGAGGCCCTCAAATCGACAAGATGACTGCAAATTCGTCGATTCATAGTTCCAGGATTAGCCGATTTCCACGAAAATTGGCAAACACATGTAGAACTATATTTCCAACCTTAAATATGAAAACTAGGCAGACAAAGTAACCCAAAGATGAATTTTCAGGGTATTATGTGCTAAAAAATAAGATTTTTTACCTCAAATATATGTTTTTCTAATATTTTGTACAAAGTTTGTTATAATTTCAAATTTATATTTTCACCATTAGATTCAACACAAAAAACCTAACAATTTAGTATATTGAATCTTTGTTCTGCTTCAATTTGTTACAGAGATATTGAAAGTAATAACTTTAGTATGTTTTCTTGCCGAGATAACTCAATGTTAATCTTATGGAGAATAAGCATAAATATTAATATTATTTTTCATTAAACCTATATAGATAAGACTTTTTGTTCTGCTTCATATTATCTGTTTTAATATTTTTTTTACTAAAAATTCCTTTTTTGGCAGTTATCATTGCAGCAAACCTACGTATTCGGTTCCTTAGTCTTAATCATAAAGAGAATAAGCAAAAATCTTTTTTTTTATTAGTCCGAGAAATATAGAATATTACCTAAAAAAAAATGCAAGAAAACGTTTTATGGTTTTATGTTGTAGTGTTGGGTATGCAGAGTAACATAGTAAAAATTGCCAAAAATCGGTCTACTGGAAAACCCCTAGAATCAAGATTTAATATGACGGATTTTCTCAACATTGGAAAAATAAAAATTAAATCCATATGCATTTTCATTGATATTGACTTCAGACCACCACCGATATTTATTGGGTGGTCATTTCTTCATTTCGATAGGGAACGTGTTTTCGGCCCTCATTTTGGATCCCCCTATTGGGTATAAATATTTTTTTTTATGTAATGACAGTGTCATTTCAATAGGGAACGTGTTTTTGGCCGTCATCTTGGATCGGCCATATTGGATATAAATAATTTTTTTAATGTAATGGCAATGTTGTGACACATTATTTTCAACTAGTTTTTGACGCCCATTCCATTGCCAAAATGAGTTTTTAAATATCTTTTTTTCGTTTTAAAGATATATTCAAACGAAAATTCTCTTGCATACATTTCTTAAGGACATTTCATATTTTGAACATTTTTTAAGATTATTTTTTCTTATATCTCCAGTACATATTAACTCTTGCAGTTCGTTCTAGCCTTAAACATTTAGTGATGTAAGAGCTTTCATTTGAGCTATTGATCATTAAAATCTGACGAGTTAGAGACTAGTTACCAACCCCAACAAAATATTAAATTTCACTTTTTAGAAATACATTTTTATTAAAATATTTATATCTCGGGTTCTTAATACGCCACCAAGTTCTTTCTGGTTTCATATTACTCAGTAAATGTTTGGGTTAATTTTTTAATCACTTAATAAAATGTGACAAATTAAATATGGGTCTGTCTTATTTAAAAATAAATTTTTTTTCGAGATTTGTCTTTAGTTTAAGACATATACCCCCAAATCGAAAAATAACTCTCAATGCTCTTTATAATCTTAAAAGATTCATCAAAGTATTGACTTTTACTGTAGTTATGGATTATTTATTGGGAGTTATTAGAATTGGGGATATATGTACTTAACTAAAGACAAATTTCAAATGCAAATAATTTAATATTAAATTAAGGTGCATGACTCATTTTTTATTAATTAGTCAGATATTATTTAGTGACTAATAAAATAAAAAACCTAATTCTCTACTGAGTAATTTGAGACCAGAAAGAACTTTGTGACGTATTAAGAACCCGAGATATAAATCATTTAATAAAAACTGATTTATAAAAAGTTAAATTTAATATTTTGTTGGGATTGGTAGCTCGTTTCTAACTTGTCCATTTTTAATGATCAATAGCTCAAATGAAAGCCCTTACATCATTAATTATTTAAGAATGAACTACTAACTGAAGATAAGGAAAATAATCTTAAAAAAGTTTCAAAGTACAAAACGTTCAAAACAAAAAATGTATTTAAAAACGGATTTTAGCAATGGAATATGCGTGAAAATCTAGTATATAGTAGTAATATGTCACAACACTGTCGTTACAACAACAAAAAATTATATCCAATAAGGTGGATCCAAAATGGCGGCCAAAATACGTTTCCAATCGAAATGAAGTACTGACCACCCAATAAATATCGATGTTGGTCCCAAGTCAATATTTAGAAAATTGTGCATAGAAAATGCTTATGGTATCTTTTTTTCAAAATTTGTCCAATGTTGGGAAAATCCGACTCTGCACACCCAAAACTACAACATAAAACCATAAAACGTTTTCTTGTATTGTTTTTAAGGTTATACTCTATACTTCTCGGACTAATAAGAAATTGATTTTTGCTTATTCTCTTTATGATTAAAACTGAGGAACCGAATACGTAGGTTTGCTGCAATGGTAACTGCCAAAAAAGGAATTTTTAGTAAACAAATATTAAAACAGATAATATGAAGCAGAACAAAAAGTCTTATCTATATAGGTTTAATGAAAAATAATATTAATATTTATGCTTATTCTCCATAAGATTAACATTGAGTTATCTCGGCAAGAAAACATACTAAAGTTATTACTTTCAATATCTCTGTAACAAATTGAAGCAGAACAAAGATTCAATATACTAAATTGTTAGGTTTTTTGTGTTGAATCTAATGGTGAAAAAATAAATTTGAAATTATAACAAACTTTGTACAAAATATTAGAAAAACATATATTTGAGGTAAAAAATCTTATTTTTTAGCACATAATACCCTGAAAATTCATCTTTGGGTTACTTTGTCTGCCTAGTTTTCATATTTAAGGTTGGAAATATAGTTCTACATGTGTTTGCCAATTTTCGTGGAAATCGGCTAATCCTGAACTATGAATTGACGAATTTGCAGTCATCTTGTCGATTTGAGGATCTCGCGGCGGCCATCTTGGAAAAACCCGACTTCCGGTTGTCCGATTTTGGTAGACTTTTTTCCTGGTACTTTCTACACCTATTACTACCAAAAACCGTCGAAAAACCATTTGTTGGAATTTGTTCTATCTTAGAGGCTTTTTTGGGCTAAATCGACTCGTCTACCCTTATTAGCTAGGACATTAGGTTGTTCTATTCACATTGTTTACAAAAAATAGTTGTGGATTTAGTTAAATATTTTGAGTAGTTTGGTAGGACTTTATTTAAAAAATAAATGTCCAATTTCTTTGATAATCGTCTTATTGACTTAACTACTATGATTACAATTACTATTGATAATTATTATTATTACTAGTATTATAAATAATAAATTGTTTTTGTTATTATTAGCTTGTAGAAAAATAACAATTTCATAAAAATGTTGGTCACACCAACTAAACATCAAGTAAGCTAATCAATGTCCATGAACAGATTAAATATCTTCCCGATAGTCTGCTTCAAAAATAGTTATTAAAGTTTACTTTTAAAAACTACCTAATTTAATAACGTGTCATATTATACCTTGTTCATGTGAGGAATCGTATATTTATGGGTATTAACAACCCATAAACCTCTGGAACATTCAACTAAATGGTACAAAACATTAGACAATATTACTTGAGATAATTGAAATAGTGTAACAGTAGTAAATACATACCTGGCGAATAGGACAGTAAAAGTCACTTAAATAAATGCATTTTTAATCTGATACTGTTTATCAACTGACGTGCTGTAGGTAAGAGTTTGAATTTATTGATCTTTGTATTGTTGTAGCAACCGCTTCCATGATCTACCACTCCACCTAACCTGTGTTTGTGCACTTGCTCAATGATGAATCAGAAATACCCCGGCCGCAGCAAACCTGTAGACTAAGCGAATTTCCATTGTGTCTGATTGGATTTTTATTAAAATATTGCCTTAAACATGTCAGATTTATTCCCTATTTAAATAACATTAGTTTTAATGAGTACTTAGGTTTGCTGCTAGAGGGAAGGAAAAATGTTTTTTTGTGAAAAATATTAATAGTATAGTAAATAAATAAATTTGCCAAATTTAATCTAAATATATCCATAAACAAGCATAACTAAAAGTTTTCCTTTTCTCCATAAAAATGTTAAATGAACAGATTTTTTGAATTTTCTCCCTAACCTTTAATTTTACAACAACGCTTAAACATACACATAACTATTGTTTTTTTTCCCAGCTCTACACGATGGCTGTAGTTCAAATTGGGCATTTTCATTTTTTAAGGGTGAGAATTGGAACACAAATTCAAACCCCCATAACACCCTGCTCCCATTATCCGATCATGCTGGTTCGCTTACTAATTCAAGTTTA